AAGAGCGTCTAAGGATTAAGTGATTGCTCTGATCTTAAAATAGAAACTTAGAAAAGATTCCTTTTTAATTAGGACATCTGCCTCCGGTTAAAAAGTAATGCCATGGATGGTATGGCATATTAAGAATCTTTGATGCATCCTTTTTATTTTCCAACATGTCAAAAACTATTTTCTTCTTCTGACTAAATTTAATTTCAACTGGCAGTACCGCTTCCGGCCCTGTCCAGATGCCCCAGTTTCCCCCTTTGCTGATGCTTTGTGCAACGCCATTCAGTGTTTCCCACGGTTAGCTGAACTAGATTCACTATTCCAGGCAGAACAATGGCCTGGATTACTCAGAAAACGGCTCTAGAGGAGATAACTTCTAAGTGCTCTTGCTTGAAGGGACACATAACCGACTAAGGACCAAATGCAGAACAGTGGAAACATTTTCTAAAGATGTCACCGTTATGCTCTCTAATTCTTGACAGATATTTTAGAGAATGTCTTTTGATTGTGGCTTTCATGGGACTAGCCATTTTAAGTTAAATTGTAAAGTGTAACAAATGTCCTATCTGCCGATACAGTAAGGCCAAATTCACAGCTGAACAATGAAAACAATCAGGATTTTAAAACAAGCTGCATACACCACAGACACTTTATCTGAAATGAATGCACAGGACGGAGAACGCAGCTCAGTGGCTGAGCTCTGGGCTCTATCCACAGCACCTCAAGTGCCTTCACTTACTTATCTTTCACAACAAGGTCAATCTTTCTTTAAAAATGAGGATTCACTTACCAGGGCCTCTTTTTTCTTGCAAGAATAAAACATGTATGCATCATGATTTCTAGCTCCCACTTCTCTAACGTGAAGAAAGGGATCCAAACTTTGGTGAGTTCATCTGGGTGGACTACTTTGTTACATCTCAGCACCTGTCTTCCCAGCGTTACACTGTTTTCACTAAACTCAATAGCAACTTTAAGTGCCCCTTCCCTAAGTATCTTTTCAAAGTATCCACATTGATGTTACTGGAAAGGATAACTTTTTTGTATTTTACATATTGTTGGATTATACAGTATTCATTAATTTATGTCATCAAATTGATAAATCCAAATGGATGGGTATACTGAGAATAAACCCAAGTGATTTTTGGAAGGCACAAACTTAAGGCAGAAGTAAGGTGCAGTAGGAAAACAATCTCCTGGGCATGTGTGTTCAGCTGACTGTGGGCAGCAAGGTCCCCAGAGGGCCCCTGGGGAGCTTGAAGCAGAGCTCAGCTAAGACCCTCTAGTCTGCGTATCTCGTTTGTTTCAGGCACCAGATGCCTCTTTTTGCCTTTAGTTTCCCCTTCAGAACCTCCAAGGCTAGTGGGACCAAGGGATTTTACCTCTTTCCCTTTACTGCTCACATTTCTAAGTTATCATTATTTTAAGACAATCTATCACTAATAAAGTAATACTAAGATGTTAATCACCTCCTTTTGTACAGTAATATGAAATCTTATAATTATTTCATTAAGTATATGTATCATTAAGTATAAATCCTATAAAGATGGGGATAGCAAGTTTATTCTGTGAAAAGCCAGACAGTAAATATCTTAGGCTTACATGTCCACCTTACATCTTCTTTGTCTTGTCTCATACTTGTAGTCTGCTGACTCCTGCAGTGGGGGAGGTGTACCAGACAATACCAAACTTCTCCAGATATCTAAAGTGTAGAGCAACTAACATTTGCTTTCAAAGTGTTATAGTATGCCAGCCACAGGCAGGTAGGTATGCTTTGTGTGATTATCTGATTCAATTCACACAGCCTCTTATTCTATACTATTATTACTTTTACAAATTAAGAAATTGAGACAAGAGATTAAACAATCTCTGCACTATTAATAAATGCTTACATCAGAATACAAATTCAGATAGACCCAACTTACTAAGGCTCACCACTTCTGAAAAAACTTTCAGCTAATGTACCCAAAGATGCACAGATAGTGCAGGGTCCAGAGTAGTATGCTGACCCTGTGGTGCTATGCAATTTATTAATCTTAAAAGAAGGACTGGACAACATCACAATCCAACAATGAATCTCTAGTATTATACACTAAGCACTGATAGGAAGAAAATATCAGACCCTGAGTGTCATGAAACTAAAATTAGGAATCACTACCTTGCTTTTTCAATAAGGCAACAGAATCTTAATTATGTGACTCAGAAATAAACAATCTTTAAAAATGTAGCAATCAATTTATCTGACTAAACATTAAAATAAATGACATTTTAAAATGGGAGATCAGGAACAGGTGGTTGTAGTTTGGAGGTAGCTTCAAGGTGACAGGAGGAAACAGGAGCAAATAGAAATACTCAATATGGAGATGGGATTCATCTGGTAATCGGTGAAACTGAGACAGGAAGCTGATGCTACAGAGTTCCACAATAAGCAGCAGTGTGTTACTTAACACTGAATAGTGTCAGAAAGATAGACCATAACTAACAAATGAGACCCTAGGAGGCTACTAGACTTGTATTTTACATCACTTCCTACCCCTGAATAAAAAACTCTCTTCACTTCTGATTGAGGTGTAAGTATTGGGTATAAATAAGGACAGACAAAAATATGGCCAGTACACAAATATGTGATTTCTGAGCTATTTGTCTCAAATATTTGAATATAAAAATATTTCCATGAACTAAACAGAAATGTTCAAATTTGAGCTGGGAAGATTACATGATTCAGAATTTCTATCATAATATGCAAAACAAAGTAGGAAACAAGTTAGGTTTTAAAACATATTCTTAGGAAGTTGCTTTTCTATTAATTCAAATTTCCTTCTGTTACATGGACAAACCATACCATAAATGAAAACCATGTCATAAAGTTTATTTTCTAGGGTATGGAGAGGTTAAGAGCACTTGTTGCTCTTCCAGAGGACCCGAGTTCAGTTCTTAGTGTCCACATGGTGGCTCACAAACCTAATATTCTAGCTCTAGCTCCTGGATGACCTTAGCCCACTCGGCGGTGCACATGGGACCGCCTGCAAGCACTGAGGACAAGCTGCAAATGGCCATGGGCTCTGCCTCTCCTCTCTGTCAGGAATAGCTTCAGGAATCCAAAAGCAGAACTTTGGTGCCCATAAGGCCTCAAGAAAAAACTGGGTACAAAATGAAGTCAAATTTAAAAGTATTGGCAAAAGATAGACAGACAACAGACACACAAGAATGCATGTATACACACACACACACACACACACACACACACACACACACACACACACACACACACTGTGGTTTAGGAAACGCATACCTACGACATGGAAAGCATATTGCCTAATAATCTCTATTAAGTTCTGCATTTTGGCATAATAATGAATCCTCTGACTGAAATCCTTCCTGTTTCTTCACGCCTTATATACCTTTCTGTCCCTGCCATCTTACTTCCTTTCTCCGCCCAGCTACATCACTTCCTCTTTCTGCCCAGCTCTATCACTTTCTGTCTGTCTGTATAGACCTCTATGGTTAATTAGTGCTGGGATTAAAGGCATGTGCCACCACGGCTGGCTCTGTTCCCAGTGTGGCCTTGAACTCACAGAGATCCAAATGAATCTCTGCCTCCTAAATGCTAGGATTAAAGGTGTGTGCTATCACTGCCTGACCTCTATGTTTAATAAAGTGGCTGGCTTTTTCCTTTGATCCCCAGGCAAGCTTTATTGGTTAGATCACAAATAAAATATCACCACAGCAAACATAAAATTCTGAGTATGACTAATCCATTCAAACTGGCGACTTAGAGTTAGTGCGTTGCTGCCAATTAACTGGCAAGTCAACAGGATTTCTGAGTTGGTAGATATTCCTGTATCTAACACTACTGCCATGGGCAACTGAGCCTTGAACATTGCTTCTTGGGCTGAGGCTGCTTACTGGATAAAGTGCTTGCCATACAAGTATAAGGACTAAAGTTTCTGAACCCCAGAACCAAAGGAAAAGCCAGGCAGCTGTAGCTGCTGTCTACAATGCCAGCACTTCCAAGGTGGAGAGAGAGAGATCCCTGGAGACTAGCTACAACTGACAAGAAACTTTTCATCCAGAAAGAAACTCAGAGTAGAAAGTGATCAAGGTGACAGCTGATCTCAACGTGGGCTCCCACATGCATGTGTACACGCGTGGAGTAACCACACATACATGTGCACCCTAACATGTACAAACATATGCGTGCACACACACATACATACACACACACACACACACACACACACACACACACACACACCACTACAAAGTCTGCTTTGTCCTCGGTAGGAACACACAGAGGAACTTCTTATCAATCTTCCTGTTTGAAATGGAGGGAAGACTGCCTGCCTCTCAGGCTTCTGGTTGATTCTAGCCCACAGTTGAGACCTGGCAATGTTTCTTTCCCTCCAGTCTCTCTATTACAGATAATCTGTATTTCTTGTTAATTTTTTTCTTCTTTCAAGCAGATTTTAGCTACTTAACAATGAAAAACCCTGGCCAAAACAGACAGCAGAATTTAATTTGAAACCTAAAAAGCCTGGACTATCTAAGCAGTCTAGTCTAAAACACGAAGTTTTTCAAAAGTACAAGGAAACATCCGATCTCCTACCCAATGCTATTCATGAACATCCTCTATTTAGAATCACAGAACTTGTGCCAAAATGCATTCATATATGCTGTTCACGTAGAAATTATATTTATTACTATAAAGCCTACAAAATAAAAACTGCTTTTAAATACATTTTCTGTGACAGTAGATTTTAAACCTATTTTAGGCAGGATATTTTCTTCTGATTAAATCTTAGCTTCATGTGGATTTGAGCAGATTTACTCAGGCTGAAACTTGCACATGTGTGAACCTGTAGGCACAAGGCCTGTGTGACGGCTGACCTCTCCTCTGCCAGATTCTGACCCTGAGCAGCTACTGTGGAGCCCTGTGGTCTGCAGGAACTGAGGCAGGAGAAGACACCACTTCTCTCTGACCAAACACCACAACACCAACCAACCCATGTCTTTACCTGTGAGCTCTGAAACTCTTCCCATCAACACAAATATTGATGTCGGGACAACACTGTTTCACATAAAGCTTCAACAAATCTTCTCCTAATTCAGATGCAGGTTCCAGGTCATAATTATCTTTAAAAGAGAAGACAAAAAATAGCTTCTTCAATATTATAAACATCACTAAATTTCATTTTCTAATGCTTGCAAGTAGCTTTCTTCACAATTATCTCAATTAAAAATAAAGTAAAAAATTTTAAATCATTTATATTTCCTACTTTGAAATATGTATTAATTAAATATAAATATACCTTAAATATAAACCTTAAAATATAGTTAGATTCAAATATATTAATACTATATGACAAAAACGAATTTACTTCATGAATAATTGAATTAGCAAGAGCAATTTCTGCGGTATTGATGTTATTTTTTATACTCAGTTCCTGACCTCCTAAGCTACGGAGTGGACAAGGACTGGCCTCCAGAGGTCCATCTGTAAAAGGCCTGGCATACAGGACGGTTCTCATGGAGATACTGTGGTCACTGACGGGGTGGGAACAAGTGAGAGGTTCTCAAGTCGCCTGAAATCAAGTGCCAGGCCCTTGCTTCTCTTCCCCTTCCATGTTTTTGTTTTGTTTTGTTTCTTGAGACAGAATCTCATGTAGCCACACTGTCCTCTACCTACATAGGTAAGGATGATACTCAACTTACATTTCTCCGGCCTCTACCTTTGGTCTGCTGGGATTACAGGACTGCACCATGTCTGGTTTATGTGGCACTGGGAGGTCAAACCCAGGACGTTTTGAATTCAAGGCCATCCCTCCTTTTCCTCATCTGCTCCCCAGCTATGAGGTCAGCAGTCTGTTCTGCCAGGTGGGCTCCATCGTTCAGTTCACTCTGTCTACCAGAGGTACACAGTAAGGGTCTGGAACCCCGAAGCCATGAACCCAAGAGAGAGTGTGTGTGTGTGTGTGTGTGTGTGTGTGTGTGTGTGTGTGTGTGTGTGTGTGTGTAGTGCAATGCAGTGCAGTGCAGTGGCCACAGAAGCCATAAGAGGGCATTGGCTCACCAGGATCTGGAGTTACTGGTGGTTATGAGCCACAAGATATGTGTGCTGGTATTCATCTGCTGTAAGAGTTCCCTGGTAGAGTTGTTAGGTCACTTATATATACTGTCATGTCATCTGCCAATAATGATACTTTGACTTCTTCTTTTCCAATTTGTATCCCCTTGATTTCCTTTTGTTGTCTTATTGTTCTAGCCAGAATTTCAAGTACTATATTGAATAGATATGGAGAGAGTGGGCAGCCTTGTCTTGTTCCTGATTTCAGTAAAATTACTTTGAGTTTCTCTCCACTTAATTTGATGTTGGCAATCAGCTTGCTGTCTATTGCTTTTATTATGTTTATGTATGTCCCTTGTATCCCTGATCTCTCCAAGACTTTCATCATGAAGGGATGTTGGATTTTGTCAAAGACTTTTTCAGCATTTAAGGAGATGATCATATGGTTTTGTTCTTTCAGTTTGCTTATATGGTAGATTACACTGCAGATTTTCATATGTTGGACCATCCGTACCTACTTGTTCATGGTGGATGATCTTTTCGATGTGTTCTTAGATTTGGTTTGCCAGTATTTTATTCAGTATTTTTGCATCAATGTTCATGAGTGAAATTTTTCTGTAATTCTCTTTCTTTGTTGAGTTTTTGTGTGGTGTGGATAATCAGGGTGACTATGGTCTAACAGAAAGAATTTGGCAATGTTCCTTCTGTTTCTATTTTGTGGAATAATTTGAAAAGTATTGGTATTAGCTCTTCTTTGAAAGTCTGGTAGAATTCTGTTAAAACTGTCTGGCCCTGGGCCAGATGGAAAGATCTCCCAAATGTCCATCTTACCAAAAGCAATCTACAGATTCAATGAAATCCCCATCAAAATCCCAACCCAATTCTTTACAGACCTTGAAAGAAGGAAAAACAAAAAAATCTAGGATAACTAAAACAATTCTGTACAATAAAAGAACTTCAGAGGTATCACCATCCCTGATTTCAAGCTCTACTACAGAACTACAGTAATAAAAACCTGGTATTGGCATAAAAACAGATAGGTGGATCAATGGAATCAAATTGAAGACCCGGATGTAAATCCACATACCTATGGACACCTGATTTTTGACAAAGAAACCAAAATTATACAATAGAAAAAAGAGGCATCTTCAACAAATGGAGCTGGTCTAACTGGATGTCAGCACGTAGAAGAATGTAAATAGTTCCATATCTATCACCCCGCACAAAACTCACATCCAAGTGCATCAAAGACCTCAATATAAATCTAGATACACTGAACCTGATAGAAGAGAAAGTGGGAAATAATCTTGAATGCATTGACACAGGAGACAACTTCCTGAACAGAACACCAATAGCACAGGCACTAAGATCGACAATTAATAAATATGGGACCTCATGAAACTGAAAAGTTTCTGTAAGGCAAAGGACACCATTAATAGGACAAAATGGCAGCCTACAGAATGGGAAAAGGTCTTCACCAACCCCACCTCCAACAGAGGGCTCATTTCCAAATTATATAAAGAACTCAAGAAACTAGATATCAACAAACCAAATAATTGAATTTAAAAATGGGGTACAAATAGAGAATTCTCTCAGCAACCTGCACCTCACCCCACCGGTGCTGCCTACTAGGCTCAGGCAGGAGCAGGGTTCACTTTTGTGTGTTTAAGTACACAAAGCAGGTACGCAATTAAAAGATGTGACAGACGACCAAAATGACACTCAGGAATTAAGAGGCAGACTAAAGACGCCCTGCGTCATTTCTTTGGGGAGAATATCAAGTAATTAACAGGACTCTAACTCCGTGTAGAAGTGGATTATAGGGTTTTCCCTGGCATAATGGAGAAAGGGGTCAAGGGGTGAACGAACCTGGGCAGAGCTCTCTATCAGCAGGATGACTAGCTACCAGACATTAACTTGTCCACTGTGCTGAGTGGCCTTTGTCCCTTATAATCTCTGGGTATAAAACAATAATATCAGTCAGTCTGGAAGCAGTTCTTAGGGTTTTGAGATTGATTCTAGTATAAATGGGCCTCCTTCAAAATCAAGAATATTCATTTATTCATAATTAGGTATGGTGACATTATGAATTCATTTATTCATAATTAGGTATGACTCTTCTAACCAAGAGTCAATCAGTTTGGTTGTTATTCCTCACAAAATGCTAGTAATAAGATACTACACGATCATTTCATTTACAGTAAATTCTTAGCATTTCTTAATTTGTTGTTGTTGTTTTTAATGGTGAAATTTCACGGCACAGGAAGGGTAACATGAGGCCTCTCTAGTGTCTCATGAATTTGATGGCAGCTACCTGGCACTAAGGTGCTCCATGAACAATATAAAGTCTACTCTATGATCCAAAGTCCTCAGGTTTCCTGTTGAAATGTTTGCCTATCTAATTAATCTCTTTTCTCCATCAATTAATAATTAACTCTCAATCTGCAAGAATTCTGACATCTATTTCCACAAGAACAGTTACTCATTTTCAAGAGGCAATACCATATGCACTGTAGTATTTATGTACAATGAACATTACACACAACTTACTTATGTGCTTCTTAACCACTGAACACATAAAACTAGGCTACTACTTTTATTAGGTCATAATCTTTTTTGAAATGACTCATGACAATGTTTTCATGCTATGGCAACTTTTATATTTCCTGGTAGTTTAAGGAATACATATGCTGTGTTAGACCTAGCTCTCAGCTAAAACTTCTCTTCTTATTGGAATAGACTAGAATGAGAAGCAGTAACACCGAGGCTGAGGTAGCTGGAAAGAAAATGTGGAATTATATGTAAATATATTTGTCTCAAATGACTTGGAGAAATGATAAAGGGACCACAGAAGTATTTTCCCTTTCTCCATGCTCATTAAAATAAACAACCACCAAATCTGGGAGAGCAGCTTTACAAGCATGCTCTTCTCTACTACATCAGAATATAATTAAATCTGTGGCTATAAAGTTTTTAAAAATCTAGCAAAATATCTCACCACTGGAAATAAAACTGCCGCCTCCACCAGTAATATCCTCTGGAATTTCACACTTCCCAAGAAAACAAGTGGACGAATCTCCACAGTCCTGAAAGCTAATGTCGGGCTTTGTTTCTGGCATTACATTTTCCACTTTCATTTTTTTAAGAATTTCCTCTTCATAGTTTTTTATGCTTTTGTTTGACGAATATATAATCCTAAAAGACAAAACATAAAATATTAATCAAAATAAAAGTGATTTTTTTTTTAATTTGTCCTTTTGTTTGAGACAGGGTCTCTTGTATCCCAGGCTGGTTTTGAACTCGCTATGTAGTAGAGGATAACCTTTGAACGTCTGATCACTCATGTGCTGGGGTTTATAGGCATGTATCATCACATCCAGATTATGTGGTGTTGAAGATGTAGTACACCATTTGCCTAACATGCTTGAGGCCCTATAAACAAACAAACAAAAAACCCAGGACTAGATGGCTTCATTGGTAAATTTTACCAAATTCTTAAAGATTAACACTAGTCTTTCACATTTTTTTTCCAAAAAGTAGAAGAGAAATATGTCGCAACTCATTCTCTACAGCCAGTATGACAGGTATAAAAGAACACAAAGGTATTGTAGGAAAAAAAGAATAGACCACTGTTCATTATTAGTATAAGAAAAACATCCTCAGCTGGGCCTGGTGTCACACACCTTTAATCCCAGCACTTGGGAGGCAGAGGCAGGAGCATCTCTGTCAGTTCAAGGCCAGTCTAGTCTAAGAGCAATCTCCAAGACAGCTGGGACTACACAGAGAAACCCTGTCTCAAAAAGAAGAAGGGAAAGGAGAAGAAAACACTCTCAACAAAATAGTAGCAACATATAAAAGGATTATACAACATAGCCAATGACAATGTACTTCAGGGACTCAGGAGCAGTTAAAAGAAAATCAGATTTATACACTATGTAGACAGAATAAAGGACAAAATCCACATAGTAAGGTTGATACTTGGCACTAAGTACCTACCTGAGGTTGATGTTGTGAGTTTAAAGTGGCTCTGGTTGGCATGATGAGGACGTAAGACTGGAGGTGTTAAAGGATACAGGACTTGAGGGGCTGGGAGCCAGCTCAGTGGGTAGAGCACCTGCCTCACAAGCATGAGGATCTGAGTTCAGATTCCCAGGCCACACTTAAAAAAGCTGAGCATGGCTGCACACGCCTATAACCAACGTCGAGGGTGCAGACAGGTGCATCCTGGAGTCTGCTGGCCAGCCAGCCTAGCCAAAATGGCAAGCTTCTGATTTGGTAAGAAACTTTGTCTCAAGTAAGTGGAGTGCTAGAGGAAAACACTCGACGCCTCCTCCGGCCCCTGCGGGCAAGGCACAGGTGTGGGCAAGGCACAGGTGTGGACATGGCACAGGTGTGGGCAAGGCACAGGTGTGGGCACAGCACAGGTGTGGGCAAGGCACAGGTGTGGACATGGCACAGGTGTGGGCAAGGCACAGGTGTGGGCAAGGCACAGGTGTGGACATGGCACAGGTGTGGGCAAGGCACAGGTGTGGACATGGCACAGGTGTGGGCAAGGCACAGGTGTGGGCAAGGCACAGGTGTGGACACGGCACAGGTGTGGGCAAGGCACAGGTGTGGGCACAGCACAGGTGTAGGCAAGGCACAGGTGCAGGCAAGGCACAGGTGTGGGCAAGGCACAGGTGCAGGCAAGGCACAGGTGTAGGCACCCGCACAGGTGTGGGCAAGGCACAGGTGTAGGCACCCGCACAGGTGGAGGCAAGGCACAGGTGCAGGCAAGGCACAGGTGTAGGCACCTGCACAGGTGTGGGCAAGGCACAGGTGTAGGCACCCGCACAGGTGTAGGCAAGGCACAGGTGCAGGCAAGGCACAGGTGTGGGCAAGGCACAGGTGTAGGCACCCGCACAGGTGTGGGCAAGGCACAGGTGTAGGCACCCGCACAGGTGTGGGCAAGGCACAGGTGCAGGCAAGGCACAGGTGTGGGCAAGGCACAGTGCAGGCAAGGCACAGGTGTGAGCAAGGCACAGGTGCAGGCAAGGCACAGGTGTAGGCACCCACACAGGTGTAGGCACCCGCACAGGTGTGGACAAGGCACAGGTGTAGGCACCCGCACAGGGCCGTGTGGGAAGCAAGAGCTGGTCGGGTAGGACAAAGCACAGACAAAAGCCTCGTTTGTGGCTTCTGTGGGAGGGAAGGCGTGAGATGAGGTGGTAACTGAACAGGGTTAGGGTTCGGTGCTTTGGATAACGTAGGCAGGCACATGAGTGAGGGCTGCTCTCTTGCCGTCTGCCACTTGGCCTGGGATGTGCCGGAGAGGGGAGTGTTAAAATGTAAGAACCAGATGGAAACAGAAGGTATATTGGTGTGTACAGGGACTCATGGTTGGCTGGTTTGCAAATCAAAGGTGTGTTCACAGGCAACTCATTTGCTGCATCTAGGAATTAACTAACCCTGGAAGGGGCAGTCTCTCCTCTGATGTAGTGAGAAACTCAGTGAGACTCCAGATACCTGAGCATTAAGACTACAGGCTAAATGCTGTAATCTCAGAAGTAATTTTTAAAAGATACATGGCTATGGCTAAGAGGCATCTGCTGTAACCTCAGACAAGGAGATAATCACCGGAGCCTAAGAACTCAAGGACAGACCAGGCAACATAGTGAGATCGCCTCTCAATACGTAAATAAGTAGATAAATTAAAATACATACACAGCTGGAACATGGCCCTGAGTGGGAGAATGTGAGTTTCCATGAACAAAGCCCTGGGTTAAATACCCCCAAATGCAGACAACACAGCTAACACAACAGGAGAACCAACCCTCCCACTTCTAGTTCGAAGCAGGGAGGAAGCGGGAACCTCCATGCTATGTCGGGTGCAAACTGACCAACACTTTGCTACTGTTCGGTTACTGATGTTAGACTGAAAATACCAAGGTCCTCTTTCTTTCTCTTCCACGTGCATATGCACTTTCACAATAATCACAATGTTAAAACCTCCTGGAAAATCAAAGATATCTTATGATCTTAGTTGTAATCCTGAGGTCATAAAACAAGCACTGCTTTCAAATGACACCTGAGTCACACACGGTTTCAACTGTTTATACTCTTAACTCGAGTGCGTGGTAAAGTACTTATTGTAGAGTAAAGAGCAACATAAGAGTTTCAGGGGCTTCATGGACCAGAAGAAAGGATATAAAGTGAAGCAACTTAAAAACGATTGAATTCCATATAGCAAAAATTCAAAATTCTATTTTATCAACAGTTTTATTTAAAAAAAAAAAGTCTAAATCAGGCAAGGCATGGTAGTACATGTCTTTAATATCAGCATGCAGGAGCCAGAGAGACAGACAGATCTCTGTGAGTTTAAGTCCAGCCTGGTCTACATAGCTAGCTCCAGGACAGCCAGGGCTACAGGGTGAGACCCTGTTGAAAGAAAGAAGAAAGAGAGAGAGAAAAAGAAAAGTAAATCTAAGTCAATGTTTTCTATTATAATATGCCCTTTATGCTTTATGAATGACAAACTTCAATGTAATCTGCTAAAAAATTTGGGGGGGCAACATATAAGCACTTTCCATATGCAGATCACCGGCTGAGGTGTCGTCACCTGTGAAGTGACATGCCAGACAATCCGACTCCAAGGAGCTGACATGACCACGACACACCCTGACTACTCAACGCGAACAGAGTGTGAGTAAACGCCCAGCACGGAGCCCGTGAAAGGGAGAAAGTACAAAGCCAGCTCCTCTAACTTCCTTCTGAGAAAACTGAAGCCTACAGAAACCGCACAGCAGCGCAAGGCTGAGCTCTCTTCACTCCCCCATGCTGCCACGGAGTCAATCTTTCCTCGCCAGTCACTATTTATTTATTTATTAACTTAGACACAGCGTTTCTCTGTGTAGCCCTGGCTGTCCTATGTAGCCCAGGCTGGCCTCGAACTCACAAGACCCACCTGCCTCTGCTTCTAAAGTGAGGGGATTGGGGGTGAGCGCCACCATGGCTTGCCTCTTCCCTATCACTTCAAATATATACATATATATATATATAATATATATATTATATATATGTTGATTTATATTATTTTATGTGTATGAATGTTTTGCTAGCATGTGTGTCTGCACCCCATGTGTGTGCCTGGTGCCTACAGAGGTCAGAACAGGGTGCTGTTAACCCTGGAACCAGAGTTAGGATGGCTGTGAGCTGCCATGTGGATGCCTGGAATGGAACCCAGGTCCTCTGCAAGAGCAACAAGTGCTCTAAACCACTGAACCACCTCTCCAGCCCACTTATCTATCACTTTCAATGATGGCAAATAAAGGTTAAAAATAATGTAATGTCTCTGTTTCCCTATTGCTGAGATTTCAGACACATATACATCTGGCTGTGGATCAGTCGAGTTTGCCTTTGCCAATACTAAGTCTCTAACATTAACAATTTTTTTTTATTTTTTTATTTTTTGGAGACAGGGTTTTTCTGTGTCTTAGTTGTCCTGGAACTCAAAGAGATCCGCCTGGCTCTGCCTCCCGAGTGCTGGGATTAAAGGCGTGTGCCACCACTGTCCGGCAATACAATCAATCATTTTAAAGAATAGGTTTTTCTTAGATTATGAAATAAGGAAAATATGCACACATATTTTTTAAAAGCCAACTGTTTATCAGATTCAGATGTACGAGGAAAGTAGATAAGGCACTTACTGTAAAAAGGCTCTAAATTCTGAAGCTTCAACATTGTCCACAGGAACAAGTTCATTTGTTAGGCCCCTCGACGTCTGTCCAATGACGTGGAAATGAAAGCCAGGAGCTCTGGCTAGCAAGACTGCCCTGTGCACTTTGAACAAAGAACCACCAACAGAAAGAACAGTGTCTGTGTGGATTTCTTCCCTTAAGAGCCTGTTGGGGAAAAGGGTTATAGTTGGATTAGTGATGCTTACAACAGGTAACAGGTTTTGAAACCACCTACATACTTCGAAATAAGTAAGTAATGAAATAACAGAGGCCAAGCGAGATGGCTCAGAGGGAAAAGGTGCTCACCACGTGAGGCCAGTGATTCAACTTCCTGGAACCCACATAAAGGTAGGAGAAACCAACTTTACAGAAATAATTTATAGAAAAACTGGGTTTGTTTGAGTTCATTTTAAAGAAAACTATACTTAATATTGGTTTTGACTCTGATTTTCTAAAAACCTATAGTCAAAACAAAGAGGATTTCGCTAAAAGATAAAAAATATTTTCTTAATTCTACTAATAAATCTTATTTCCTGCTACTGTCCTGGCTAGTTTTATGTCAACTTGACACAAGTTAAAGTCATCTAAAAGAAGAAACCTCAATTGAGAAGATTCATCTGAGAGGCGTTTTCTTAGAGATTGATGGGGGAGAGCCCAGCCCATGGTGGGTGATGCCATCCATTCCTGGGCTGGTGATCCTGGGTTCTTTAAGAAAGCAGGCTGAGCAAGCCATAGGGAACAAGCCAGTAAGCAGCACCCCTCCATGGCCTCTGCATCAGCTCCTGCCTCCAGGTTCCTGTCTTATTTGAGTTCCTGTTCTAACTTCCTTCAGTGAGACTACAATGTGGAATTGTAAGCTGAATAAACCTTTTCCTCCCTAAGTTGCTTTGGTCATAGTGTTTCAATGCAGTAATAAAACCCTAACTAAGACAGCTACTTACATTGATTTTCCTTTAAAATGTACCTTCTTGAGTTTTATAATGGAAACACAGAGCAGAAAGTTAACTTAGCTTCTGACTATTAATGAATCAATTGTTCAAAAATCATACTAAAACTGAACCAAAAATGTATAAAGTCAATACCAAGAAACAAGACATAACAATAGACAATTCATGTTAAAAACTATTACACTTTTGTTAATTACCAAGTCTGAAATGGAGCCTTGGATGTCAAGAATGTGACATTGATGCCCTTTCCCATCCCCACCACAGAATTAATCATGCTCTAATCATTACTCAGGAGATAAACCCACTTGAATCTCTAGTGTGCACATGTAGTTATGGCAAAGCCCACTGATTTCATATATATGTAAACTGAAAAACAGAAAATAGCAGAAAATGTCATAATCTATTCATCTGCCTCTTTTTTTACTATGTCTTTCTGCTCTCTACATACGTAAAATACTTTGTTTTACTATGCCAAATCACCGATATCATCAAGGTATGGATTCTCAGAGGACTTCTGTATTGCAGGATATAATTGGCAATCACACCCACGCACCACAGGAGGATCATGGACTGGGTAAAGATATCCATTACAGTGAAAGCTTGGAAAGCAGCCAATGACACTCAAGGTCCCTTAAGACCAGGCTAATGGCTCCTTCCCCAATCCCATTACACCAGGTCCATGCCTCTATTACAGCATTTCTGTCATTGCATCATTATTATTTTTATGCATCTCTCCCCACTAGATATAATGAATTCCCAAAGGGCAAGAACTGTATGTCATTAGTCCACAGAACGAGCTCAGTATTTGCTTGTCCACAGATCCCATTTTACTAAAGGAAACAAATGCCTCAGAGCACAGATGCTTTGGAAACTTCACAAACATGTTTTAGCTTGGTCAGGTTTTTTTTTCCACAGATTATTTTCAAAGGTAACTAACTTAAAGTTATACAGAGTGTGTTGTGCTGAGCCCCACTGCTGGCCACATAGATACACAGACTCCCTACTCTAGAGGCCCACACTGAGCCAAGTCTTCTCATGTGGCAAGTTCCTAGGAGATGAAGAGTCTGATCATTTAGGTAACTTTACAGAAGAACCCTCTTATCCTCACAAACACATTAAAAGCCCACTCCATAATGCACAGCATCAAACCTGGATATTTTCTCCAGATATACATACCTGCTATAAAGTTTGATTTATATATTATGCATATCACTTACTGATAAAATAGAATACATACAATAATATACTACAATCAAACTTATTCAAAGTTTAACAACAGAAGTGTTTTTTTCAAATTTTATCTGAAAACTCAAATTATACACTAAATTTGTTCCTCTCTCCCTCCCAGCTTCCCTAATGACCCTAGCCCCTCTCTAATGTGAATAAGGAAGCAACGTCAGTAAACATCAGTAAAACTGAGTGCTCACTGGCTCACCCAGAACTAAAAGCTAGAGGAAAAGCAGACTGGAACAAATGCCCAGCTTATTTCCACCTTTCTCTTTGCTATCTACTGTTCTGACCTGCCACAGTCTATTTTATATTGCTGTGACAGTATACCACAGACAAGACATTTACAACAAACAAGTTTATTGGCTCATAGTTCCAGAGGCTAGCAACTTCTGATCTCAAGATACTAATATCTGGTAAGGTCCTCCACACTTCATCATCACAAGGTGGAAGGCAAGAGGGCAAGTGAGATCAAATAGGGCCAACGTGGGTGCGCCCATCCACACGGGTCAAGGTTGATGTCAAGTCTCTTCCTCAATGGTTCTCTACACTTTAAGAGAGATGGTCCACTGAACCGGAGGCTGGCATTTTTACATAGGTTCTGGGATACTGAACTCTCATCATCATGTTTAAACTGCAAGCACTTTACGGTTGAGCCACCTCCCTAGCCCCAAATTCACTCTTTAATAAGGGACCCAGTTTCACCCCCAAGAATGGAACCTTCAAGGCCTAATCACAATTTAAGGACCTACTGCTCCAACTTGTATTTTTCAACTTGTATTTTGCAGAGGACAAATATTCAAATCAGAGCATAACCTATATAAAGCATTTCAGACTGCTATTAAAGTTTAGTTACCACTAAACATTTTGTAAGTATGAACTGTGTAACAAGAACATAAAGACAACTAAAAGACTAAAACATAGTGCTTACCCCGTGGAGTTTTAAGTATAGAAGAGAAAACCAGGTCTGGAAATTGAAAGAACATGATACATCCAACAGCAAGCAAACTCCCCGACCCCAACCCATCCACCCCAGACAAGATACCACACAAGACTGTATATGAGGTATGTTTATTAAATGTGATCTTTAAAGACTTTGTAAGAGTTGGTTAGAAAAACAAAGCGGAAGGGGGTTTCTGGCTTTGTTCTTTACAACGTAAGTACAAATGATCCACAGGGTGCTTAGGGGTGGTACACAGCAAGGGGCTTCTAAAGGCAAAAGCCACATCCTAGAGTCTCACTCTGCAGCTGCAGACATGAAGGAGAAGAGGAGGAGAGGAACTTAACAGACCCCACTACTGGAGCAGAGTCAACAGCTTGAAACACGAGGAAATCCGTAATCTGCCTTTTAGCGATCTGTCATTAGTTGGGCAGTCAGTTGGGTGATCAGTCATTAGTTGGGCAGAGCAGGACTTGAAGTGAGGACGCAAACTCCTTTACAGTACAAACATGACCCCAGGAGCCCGAGCCAGGTGAGGGTCAGTGGTGGCAGAGGATGAAATTTAAAAACACGTAGGTAATAAAACTAGAATTGACTGGACATAGGAGTGACAGTGAAAAATCTTTGGTTTGGATAATTGGATGCCGGTGATGCCACCGACCTTTAATCTGTAGTTGCTAGCCCCGTTTCTCTCTTCAACTCATCTCATCAGATGTATCTCTAGTTGTCTTCCTGAATATTCATTATATTTTCAGTTGTCCTAAGATTTGGAGCCTCTGCCTACTGTCTTCTTTCTCAGCTGGCCCACATGTATTCAGTCAACAGCCCTGTTAACCCTCCATTCCCACTGTCAGTATGGCATCCCCAACTACCATAAAATCTCGTAGCTGACTTGTTTCTGACTTCTCTTCTCTCAAAGTCAAGATCTAGATGTTAATTGATTTTTTTTAAGAAACACCAATAGCTCTACAAACTACCTGTAGAATCCACCCCAAACATTTAAGTAGAGAAAGAAAGCTATTATCTACAGTTTTTAGTCTGTTTATCCTCACATGCTGCTGTTTTGTCTGCCATGACCACAAACATCTTCCAGATAAAATAGTCTGTCTTAGTGAGAGTTACTGTTGCTGTGATGAAACACCATGACCAAAGCAACATGGGGAGGAAAGGGTTTATTTGGCTTACATGTCCACAGCGTAGTCCATCACTGAAGGGAGTGAGGACAGGAACTCAAAGAGGGCAGGAACCTGAAGGCAGGAGCTGATGCAGAAGCCATGGAGGGGGGCTGCTTTCTGTGTTGCTCAGTCTGCTTACCATGGGCTGGGCCCTCCCCCATCAATCTCTAATTAAGAAAATGCCCAGCATGGATCCTATGGAGGCATCTTCTCAGTTGAGGTTTCTTTCAGATGACTCTAGCTTGTGTCAAGTTGACATAAAACTAGCCAGGACACAGTCAAATCTACTTATATGACCCTGGTTTTTGCCATATATCTCAACACCTTTATCTCATCTGAACGGGACTGCATACTAAGACAATGTTAGCTTAATACGTTATTTAAGCAAGGTAACTTCTGCAAGACAGTCTATGATAATCTGGGGACCAAGTGGTAGCTCTCTAAGAGTGCACACCCCTTCCCTGCTTCAGGGAAGGGGTAGTAGTGAGATGATACACGTTTCCTCCCCAGAAGCCCATCCCTCAGTTCAGCTACCTGCAGCATGATGGCAGAGCTTCCTCCATCTCGTATCCTTGCTGACGCCATTTCAGGTTTAACTAGAATTTGATCTCCTCGGTAGAAAATCACACAAAAAGTTGCCCAGCTCCAGTGTAGGAACCCAAAGTCAAGGTGGGCCAGCTAACATAGCCTCTGTTAAACTGTGCAAACCTCCCCCTGCAGCTAACCTCTCGGTTAAGTGATTGCTTGTGGGGAAACTCCCCCGGCAGCTGCAGGTTTTTGCCTTTAAGAGCCCCTTGCTATAAATGCTCAGGACGACACTTAGATCCCTGAACACCTAAGTGTAGTCCCAGCTCACAGGAATAAATAGTTTCCATTGGCTATAAACTCTGAGTGGTCATCTCTGGTGGCCAGGCTCCCCCTAACAGCAGAAAGCAGCTTTCCTGCTTTTCTGAGTCCAAATTCACTAACTTTTCCTGCTTTCTACCCTTTTCTTTTAGACACTGGCCGAGACACTCGAGACTTTCTCACTCTTCTCTGGAAAAACCCCACACATCACTTGGTACTTGTCTTCCACTGGGGGGGAACCTGACAGCTTTCTCAGACCCAGGCACCTGACAAGATTTACAGCTTGCCTATTGAGTCTGTTTTTAAATTATTTTATTAACAAGACTATGAATCCAAAGAAGAGAAGGTTGGTTTTCTTGGTAACATATAGAGCCCGATGTTGAGGATCCCACAAAACAAACAAAAAACAAAATTAAGATTTGTAGAATGCGGGTCAGAGAAATACTGGTTCAGAGGTGAGAAGCACATACTGGTTTTGCAGAGGATCTGAGTTTGGTTCCCTTCACCCACATCGTTATAGAAATAAGCCTTCCCACGGAGAAATCACTCTCCACCCTTAGCATGTGTCTGGCTACAGCTAATTAATGCCCAAGGAAGAGCTGGCCTTGAACAGATTTTACTAATGTTGTACACACCTCAGACTAATGCATTTCACAATCGCTGTCATCCTTAAATCAAGTCCCAGCCCCTGGCTTGCACTTTGAACAATTTAAACAGAGACAGGAGACTGCAGGTCTGGCCTCTTGGGCAGACTAGGTGTTTGCACAGCAAAGATATTGCCAGAATTATTTTAAATACACCAGTGGAGTTCTTTTAGCATAGCTGTTACCCAGGGTTATTTTTCCCACTTGGCATTATTTTCCTGACAGAAGCGAGGGGTGGAGGGAATGGAGGTAGGGAGGGGGGCCCCTAATGGCAGACTAGGACTTAATGGTAGCTGTGACCCTGCGCGGGCCCCTGTTAGAGACATGTTGTTCTGTCCTTCATTCCACGTGAACACTCGTTTTCCTAATTGTTTCCTTTTCTCACAACTTTTTAAAGACATGGTTTACGTTCCAGGGCCTGGACGCAGTTCGACCTCAACAACAGCCCCCTGCCCGTGTGTAAATCTTGGCACGAACCGGTGCGGCTACGCATCCCTGTAGTTTTAATGCTTGTCGTCCTTCCGAATGCGGTGTGTGGGGTCCCTTAGGTCGGGCAGAGCCTCTCTGGGAGATGGGGCGCCAGGCGAGCGCCCCACAGGTGCCGTAGGACCAGAGCGAGGCGGGGAGGGAGCTGCGCGGCTCCCGCCTCCTACCTGAGCACGTCGCGGCTGAGCTGCTCCGACACCACCGCCTTCAGCCGGCGCCGCTCCCCGGGCCCCTTCCCGGGCGGCCGCTTCCTGTCGGGTCCCGGGGACCTCAGGAGCGCCGCGGGGGCCGCGCCGCCCGCCGCACAGTGGGCCATGTCGACCGCGGAGCCCGGCGTGCCAGGCCCCGCGGGACCGGAGGGGGCGTTCCCGCCCGCACGGCCGCGCCGCGGAGCCCGCCCCCAGGAGCAAAGTTCCCGCCCCGCCTCGTGTGCAGCCCGGGCCCTAAACGCGGCGGACGCGGTGCCAGGAGCCCGCGGTCACGTGACCCGGGCTCTGCGCGCAGGCGCACTCGCTCTGTTTACAGCGGCCGGCTGGGGCCCTCCTGGTGTCCGGGAAGAGGAAGTCCCCAGAGCTTTATTCCGTTCTTTAACGAGCGTTATGGAGGACTGCGTCCTCTGTCCTCTTTGTCTACGAGGACGGGCTCACCAGACTTTTCCGGTAGAGTCCTATGTCGCGAGCAAGAAGGGAGATACAGATACGCCTAGGTGGTATAACAAAAGTTAGGTTTTATTTTACGGAGGGCCATCACAGAAACTTCACATTTTTTTTTTTTTTTTAAAGATTTATTTATTTATTATGTATACAGCATGTATCCCTGCAGGCCAGAAGAGGGCAGCAGATCTCATTACAGATGGTTGTGAGCCACCATGTGGGTTCTGGGAATTGAACTCAGGACCTCTGGAAGAGTAGACAGTGCTCTTAACCTCTGAGCCATCTCTCCAGCCCCGAAACTTCACGTTCTTAACTACGGTCCTAAGCCTGTCTTCCCAGAGCTGCTCACCTGTGTGTAGGTCGGGTCCAGGTTCTAACAGTCTCTGATTCGAGACTCAGGATCCTGGGGGAGATTCTCCAGCCTCAGGGCAGACCACGGTGACATTCTCTCCAGATATGCAGAGCAGAGCATTGCTCTTGGTCTCCGTCTCTTTATATACTGTCCAGACGGCGTCTTGAGGTTCTAGGCCTGTGTCTGGTTATCTTGAGTAAGCGATGTCCCTGGCTTCTGGTTCAGGTGCAGCCTTGAGTGAGTGGGAATCCTGACTAAGCTATTTTTGCGTGTCTAAAAGGCATTTCTCACTGTGCTCATTACACCTTTCCGAAGCTCAGCTTTGAGTAGTACATGCTTTTGGTTAAGACAAACTTGAGAGTTAACCCTCCCACTGTTTATGGCTCTTTACCCTCGTGCCTGCTTGACTCCCCTTAACCCATTTTTGTTTTCCTATCGCCACTGTTACATTATCTGTCCCCTTAAACGCTCCCCCACACCAATAGTCCTTTTTAAGTTGTATGGCTTTTATGGTATTCTAAGTTGAACACACAACTCTAAAGATTCTAAGCTAGGATCTGCTTTTATTAGTGAAACTTTCAGTGTGTCAGGTACAAAGGAAACTCCATTTCCCCAAATTACGGTGTTTAACAAAAGTTAGCATTCCTCGGGAGCTTGTGAAGCCAGTTCTCTACCAAAAGGAGCCATTTCCCTTATCCCTGGCGGAAGGGACAAATGGCTATTTTTGTGTCTATTAGCATGCTGGCCTCCACGCTCTGTCAGGATCATTATTACCTTTTATACATTTCAGAGTCCATGTTAGCATCCTAGCTCTTCTTACCTCCTCCCAGACCTTAAATGTCTCCAGCTCATAGCCTTCTGTTCCCCCCAGCTACTCATTCTCTTTATAACCCCGCTCTTTGGCCATGTTCCTTTTTTTTCTGTCTCTCGCTCTTGCTCTGCTCCTGCTTCTCATGGCCAGGTCTAGTCTGCTGTCCATGTTCAGTCTACTACTGTCTATCTGTGCTCTAGACTCTTCCATAATTTCACTTTTCTTTACAGCTGAATAAAATTCCATTATGTATTGTCAGGTCCAAAGGGTATCCCAGGCACCCCCAAAGGGCAGGCCCACTGACTTGGTCCAAAATTGAGTCTAGGATCAGCTCAAGATGAACTGTAGAAAGATTTCTGCTGCTTAAATTAAAGACAGAATTTCTCAGGAATTTGTGAAACAGATTCCTTGTATGCCAAAAGGAGTCATTTCCCTTGCCTCTTGCAGAAAGGATGTATGGTTCTCTGTTGGCATATGCCTATGGCACCCATCAGCATTTCAAAACCCATGCTAGCCTCCAGCCCCCTACAGTTCCTTACAAGTACCTAGTATACATTTCAGTATCCACACTAGCCTCCCAGCCCTTCTCACACATACCCACTCTTCCTCCCAGGCTGTTGTGGCTCCCAGGCTTCGCTCCTCCCAAATACCTATCCATTCTATGTATAAAAGCAAGGTTTTCTTCCACCTGCCCTCACTATTCTCACTTCTCTAGCAGATAACCCTAGCTGTGTCCAGTCTGTTTTATTTTTCTCTCTGCTTTGGGCTCTTCCAGATGCCTCTGGCTGTTCTCTCTCTCTTATACACACACACACACACACACACACCCCTTCCCCCTGATGAAGGAGTGCCCATTTCAGTGGTTTCTTTCCCACGTCCTCACGTGTATATACACATTTTCATTATCCATTCTACATGTAGACTGATTCCATTTCTTACACATTGTGAATAAAGCAGCACCAAACATGGTTGAGCACATATCTCTATGGTAGGATATAGAATTCTTTTAATGCCTCCTAGGGATGTTTTCTCTGTCAATTAAAGAATTAAAAGGCAAGAAAGATGTTACCAGAAATCCTAGGGAGTCCCAGTGGAGACATTATATGATACCTGGCAAATCAGGGTCCCCTCATTGGGGTTCTTAATCTTATTAAAATAATTTAAGAATGAAAACAAACAGGAGCTTGAGGACCATTTATTATCGATTTAAAGGAAAACCCTGGGGGCAAGCAAGCTATAAATCTTTTTAAATCTATTTGTTAGGTTGCAAAGCTGTGCTCCTGCCTCTATTTTCTGTGCACTACAGGCATGTGCCATTGTGCCCAACAAACATTATCTTAAGGGGTACAAAAGGTATTATAAAAACCTAATTGAAATTCCTCAAGTGTATTTTAAATATGATTAAATATCTGTGTTGGTTAGTTTCTGCCAACGTGACACAAACAGGGTCCTTTGGGAAGAGAGAATCTCAACTGAAGAATTCTCTGCATCAGGCCGGTCTGTGGACAAGTCTGTGGTGCATTTTCTGGATTACTGATTGATGTGGGAGGTCCCAGCCCACTCTGAATGTTGCCTTCCCTGGGCCAGTGCTCCTGAGTTGTATAAGAAAGGAAGCTGAGTGAGCCATGGGGAAGCAAACCAGTAAGCAGCTCCGCTCCATGATTTCTCATCTCTGTTCCTGATTGAATGCTTGCCCTGGCTTCCCTCAGTGATGGGCTGTGATCTGAACATGAGTCAAATAAACACTTTCTTCCCCAAGTTGCTTTTTGAGGACAGTATCTGTGCCACTTAGAGTAAAAACCACTGAGCTTTTCCACAATTGATACTTTTTTTTTATTTAGTTCATGGTTTCCACCTAAAAGTTCTTCCCCTGTTTCCAAAATGACCTGAACATTTTTAATGCTACAGATGCACTTTTACTTCTTGTGGTAATGAATATACATAGGCTGCCTGGAGGTCTAGGTATGAATTAAATAACTTGGCATATGCTGGATGCTTCAGGGCAAACTTCCTAAAGGTCATGTATGACACTTGAGCTGAGTCCTTGCCAGCTATCTGCTGGAAGAGTGTGGAAACATCTAGGTTTGGCACTCCAAAAGCTGCACGGAGTATAGTTGTTAACTCTTGTTCTGTTATATAGCCGTCCTCATCAAGATCAAAAAGTTTAAATGACATTTGCAGAATCTTCTCCGTGTTGGAAGGGTTGCACAGGACAGTTAGACCTATCACATACTCTCGGAAGTCTATGGTGCCATCGTGATTCCTGTCAAAGAGAGAAAAAAGCTGTCTCAAGGGCTCTGAAATTGGGAGTTTTAAATGACTTGAAAACTCTTCAATTCCAATCTTGCCTCCTTTTGAGGAGACTGCAATTGCAGCATATTTGTCCAAGTGCTTGTGGATATTGTCCCAATCTAATTTCAACTTCTGACTGATTTTCGTAAATTCCACCAAACCAGCTTCCATGGGTAGTTGAAGGGCACCAGCAGAAATCATCAGTCTGCAGTCTTCGAAAGTGTGTTCCGTCACAGGGAGTCTCAAAGCATTTGCCATGTTGATTCGGACTGCGTTGGCAAAAAGGACGGGGTCTTTCTTTTCTTCTTCACTCGGGATATAAACAGGCATAAATTCAACTTCCACTCTAGTGAAGGGCTGACTCAGAGTTAGCATACATGCCTGGAAGCCTGTGAACCCCTGCCAGGTCCAGGTCACGGTGTCCAGGGTGTTGGGGTACCTCAGCAGCACTGGTTGCACAGGGACGCCTGGGGAGAAGGCTCCTAGTTTAAACGTGACGAGACAGGAGCGATTGGTGCATACTCCTTCCGGGAAAATCAGAATCTGCGGCCACTTCATTTTGGATATCACTCGAGTCAGGATTTCATTCCGGGTAGTCTTTCTAGAATTCGGGTCTTCGCGTTTCACAAGCACAGGCTGAGTTGACAGGAGGCATTTCCCAGCCAATGGAATCTGCACATTCTGACTTGCAGAGACCACAGAAGGGAGCCCCGCCACAACGACGGCGATGGCGTCAAAGAAGGTGGAGTGTGGCGCGGTGACGAAGATGGGGGCCTCCTCTCTGGTGGCCCTTTTCCCTTTCACCTTAATCAGGAACCCAGCAAAAAAGAACGTCATACGAAACAAGAACAGGAGCGCCGGCTTCATCAGATGTTTCCTCCAACTCTTCATGGGTTTGGTAGGTTGAGTCGGCAAGTTGATGGTGGTGAGTGTGGCCATAGGCCAGAGAAAGATGAAGAGGAAGGCGATGCAGGACACACGCACAGGTACCAGCACGGTCCCCAGGAGGATGGTGCAGGCCCAGCGCCAAGCACTGAGGTGAGTCTGCTGCATGAAGGGGTTGGCCACTGCAGGCGAGTATAAGGACCTGTTCACCTCCCGGGCAATCCCGCTGTCCCACACCTCCAACTCGGTGGTGTCTGTAGTCTGTCTGCGCTGGGTCAGATGAGCCATGAAGCCTGCTTCTCAGCATTTGAGCATCCCTTTCCCCACATTCGGGAACCATTTCCATTTGCACATAATTAGCACTCTTACAGCCAATTGTTGGTTAATAGGAAATGATGCATTACCTTTAAAAATCAGAAAAAAAATCACAGGGGAATTAGGATCTCATCAAGACAACACCACAGTGTGTTGTTTTGACAGGTACAGTTTAAAGTTTTTCACATAACAATTTCTGGTACTTATTCATATATACTTACTAAGGAGATATTAATTTGAATGAATAAATATTAATTACAACTTTCAAATTTAAGTGATAATGCCAGTAAGTTTTGCTATGGGCTGCTTTGAAAACTAGTGAAATTCATCCATTGTCCCTACAGAATGATTTCTTTGCTGATGGTCATATCTCTTTAGGCTAAGAAGGCTAAGTAATGGCACCTTAAACATTTGGATCATGAGCACTTTTCCATACACATAGAAATTTAGGGAGGAATAGATTTGAAGAGAGGAAGAGGTGGGGGAGAGAGTAATGGGCTCTGTGACCTGAGGGTAGAAGGGCTTTGTATGGAAGGAAGGGGACCAGCAGGAAGCGGAGGACAAAGGGAGTGGGGGAGTAGTTGATGAGGAGGATGGATGTGAAAAAAGCATGACATATGTGAGTGAAATGCCATAATGAAACCCATCACTTAGAAAATTAATAATTCAAAAAGGAAAAATCAGAGTACATTAATTCTAATAGGCCAGAGTTGACCATGGCATGTGGGATTTATTGCCAGGAGCCATCCCCGGCAGTGGACAGGTCCCACCAGAGGATGATGTAAGGAGTTGGCGAGGGAAGGAGGTGAGCCAGGCCAGGGTGGTGGTGAGAATCTTGCACCTAACTGACTAGCAGCCAGAGTGCTTCTTTATACATACAGAATTTAGTAAGCAGGGATAGATTCATGTAGTTCCAAAACATAGATCATATCAGTTTTGGTTTTGGACATGTATTTTACTTTCTTTTGCATAACTTTTAGTCATGATTAATAAATTATGACAGAACAGTTGTCATTTCCAATCATTTTCCCTCAAGTTTTGGCATCATTAATAAACAGAGTTATCATTTTTACTCATTAACCCATAATCCAGTTTTTAAGAATCTAGAGGCATATGACAGCCTGTTCTCAGGCTGGTAGCTCTGGTTGCTACAAGTACACTAGACCAAAACAAAAATCTTCAAGATATCCTGGGCATTTTGCCATGTCCTAAGGAGTGTATTATTAACTCTTAGTGGTTAGAGTGCCCAAGAAAAGTCTCAAGTCAAAGCTACTGCAGTTATTATTTGAATTCTGGCATAATACAATGTTTACATTTTATATATTCATAAAATTTTTATATGTCTAATCCTGCCATTCTGTTGTTCCTTGGTCATATGACACCACAGTGGCTCTGCATGTGCTAATTTTTCTAAGAAAGGGAGGTCCTGACATCTCATTCTTATATCATTTTTTACATCATTCTTTGTTTATTAATAAGTTTCTGTGTAGGGTGGAGGTAACTTCAGCTAATCTAACTTTGTTACTATATATGCCACATAATTGCCTGAGTGTACAGTGCGAAGAGGCTTGCAATCTGATCTGTGGGCAACTCCTCTAGCCCACCAAATCTTGTTGACCTTTTCAAGTTTACTTTGTTTTGATTACCTTGTTCCTGAGTAAGTTCATGGACAAATGTTTCAAGAATGTCTCATAACCTCATAAAGAGACCTCTGGCTTCTTTATGTGTATTATAACCTCCAAGGTGTAAAGAAGACCTTCAAGTAGATAAGGATGTCTCCCTACAAGAGGGAGTGGTACTATGTTCAGGACTTTCCTGGGGAGGCTTAGAAGCAATACTCCTGGGAGAAGGCATAAATGATTCATAAGAAAATTTCCATTGATCCAATATCCTCCAATTGTACAAATATTAAAAGTCCCCCAAGTATGCAACAGGTGGAGATGAATACCAAAGGTGACATGGCAGCCATCATGCGGCTCAGCTCTGCTGGATCTTTGTCAAGCAGCTGTGCTGGCTTTGTGACTTCTGCTGTTCCATCAGCTATGGCTATGCTAGTTTATAATGTTAAGACAGTCTATATGAACCAGTCAACACTCTAAACTGATATTACATGAGATAAAAAACTGTAAAATCAACTTTGTCAGTAAGTGGGCTTTGAATAAAATAAGATCTACTTTACTATGTCAACACAGTCTCCAGGACATGTTCCTTCTTTGATGCTGTCCTTCGGAAGCCCAGTCAGTGTGAACCAGGCTTTCTTCTAGACCTGATAGCATTCTTGACTTTGACAATGCTATATTGAGGATTCCTGCTATGCTTGCTAATTTCTAATTTGAATTCCTTTTCCCTGAACTAAAATGATTATTTAAGCCCCTGAGTTTCCATCTGTTGACATACATTAGGTTAGCCATACAACAGGAAGAGTGCTATGGATACTAAAGCTTGATAAGCAAGGTGTGAGCCACTGGAAGGCCACTTCCAGGTGCCGACATTTACACATGGGGAATTGACAAGTTACGTGTTAAAACTTATTCTCCTATCTTTCCATTGCTGATGATACTCCCTACCTTATGCTTTTGTTATGAGCCTCCAGCATAATGTTCGTAAACAAACTGAGCTTTTATTGTTGCTATGGCACAGTAAGAATTCTGAGGACACTCCACACTCTCCTGTCACTATCAGGACTGTCTGTAATGAAGGAAATTTCACTAGGGTGCTGTGACTTGCCAAATGCTGATAAATGTCTCCTTTGCCGAAGAAGACATCCCAAGACAGTGGCAGCAGCAGTGACTTGAGTCACACTGCCCCCTCTCCTGTGACTTCCTATTCTACAATGTTCATTTCTACCTTCAGCTTCTTCTTGTTTTAAAAAAAAATTTAGCCCGGCAGTGGTGGCGCACGCCTTTAATCCCAGCACTCGGGAGGCAGAGCCAGGCGGATCTCTGTGAGTTCGAGGCCAGCCTGGTCTCCAAAGCAAGTTCCAGGAAAGGCGCAAAGCTACACAGAGAAACCCTGTCTCAAAAAAAAAAAAAACCAAAAAAACAAAAAAAAATTTACTAATTTTTTGTTTTATATGTATTAGTGCGAGAGTGTCAGATGCCCTAGAACTGGAGTTACAGACAGTGAACTGTCATGTGGGTGCTGGGAATTGAACCTGGGCCCTCTGGAAGTGCAGCCAATGCTCTTAACCCCTAAGCCATCTCTCCAGCCCCTCTTTCAGTTTTCCTTAATTGCATTCTGTATATAGTTCTTAGAAAAAGTTATCACGCCATCTTTCTTTTATATTCCACGTGCCTGATGTGGTGTGGTGTAATATTTGATTATAACATATTGCATTAGTTCATCCCTGTCCCCTCATTCGTGGTTTCAGTTATCTGTGGTCCACTAGGGTTTAAAAATATTAAGTGAAATTTAAAAAATTAAGTGAGAACACAGAAATAATGCATAAGTGTTTTAAATTGTACAGTAGTCTGAGTGGTGTGATAAAATCTCCCACTGTTCAGCTTCATCCCTTCTGGGGATGTAAATTATCTCTGGGATAGTCAGGCTGAATGTGGCTCTATCCAGCCAACTTTCAGATTGACTGCTCTGATGTGCAGCACTTGTGTAAAATAAAATCTGCATTTTGCTCAGTGTTACTTAATTTCACTCACTAATGGCTCCCAAATGCCAAAGAGAAGCCGTAGTACTGCTTCTAATTGAAAAGGGAGATGTTTCCATGACAAATGAAAAAAAATACTGTAAACATGGGAGAGAGAAAAAGAGATTAATGCTAAATTTGATGATCACACCTCAGACTGAAAGAGTTATGGACACAGTAGATGGTGAGGGCTTAATTAAGATGAGAAGTTATTCATCATATAGGGTTTGTTCATCTACAGTTTGGCATCAGCTGGGGTCTTGAGACTGTATTTATTCACTAAGAAATTATCTGAATGTCTACAATGTGGCAGGCCTTTATTCTAGACAATGTACATCAGCTTTGAAAAAAATTAAAAATCTTGTCATGTAAAATTTGGATTCTAGTGTACAAAGGAATTACAGTATTCATTTCTAACTGCATTGAAGGGGTAAAAATATGTTTTCCTACTTGGTTGTTATAGCATGTACCAATTTCAAATAGTTTAATCATTCATCATAAATAGAACTTAAGACCCATTTTCAGAAATACTCATCTAGTTAAGTTTACATTCAAATTCCTTTATATATTATAAATCCACAGGAGTTGATGGCAGGATTTTATTGGCTAAAAAAATAGTAAAAAATAATGTTTTAACAATGAAATTAAAATGTTTGCCATTGCAGATCTGCCTTTTATACTACGGCACAGCTCATATTCATGTATATTTATAAAAGGCACCATATGTTAATATGATAAAGAAAGCAAGAAGTCAAACCTGAGCCATTTTTCCCAATTACCTTTTTGTACAACTATGTATTTTAAGGCAGATGTTTCTCTGTGCAGAAATAGACAGTGAAAAAAATTACATAGGTTTTTTTCAATACCATGTTTCACTATATTTATTTATAATCAAGCATATTAAAACAGGGGTTTTTTTTTCTAATAAAATGTAAGTTGATGAACAAGTTTTAAGAGGTTTTCAAGATTCCATTCTAGACTCCTCATCGGAGATAAAGTCATTCTCTTCTCGTCTCTTCTCTTAGGAATGCCCATATCAGCCTGTTCACTATGTCAGGTTGGTCTTGCTGAAGCCAGTGGCTACCTTCTGACAAAATGGTGAGTCTGAAATAGTTTTTAACATAAACCTTTGTGACTTCGGCCATCTCAGCCTCCATAAACGCATCTTCCTCTCCCCATAGGAGTAGTGTTGGCGTTGTCACCATGTGATGTTTGAGAGGCAGGCAGCTGTGAAATCAAAAGGACTTGGCTTGAGAATCATTGGGAAAGTTTGAGTAACATTCTTCCATAACATTCATGGAGACTGTGCATTCCTCAAATACCTCTCGCTAAAGGGGTGAAAATTGGTTCTTGGGAGGGTAGAAGAGGCTCACATTTTATTCATAAAACATAGATATGCAGAGATTACAAACATATTAAATTTTCATGGGCAGGGTGATTTGAGGGGAAGTGTCTTTAAAAGCTCCCTTGGGAAGTGATAATGAAAAATGGTTGTAAAGCACACATTCAATAGTTATGCTAATTATGCTGAGTGTGTGGGTGAATGTTATCTCAGTACTCAAGAGGCAGAGGCAGCACATCCATCACTTCAAGTTCAAGGCTAACCTGGGCTACATAGTGAATTCCAGGACAACATTGGCCAAAGTTGAGACTCTATCTCAAAACAAATTAACAATGCCATAAACAAGGAAAGCAAAAAAGGGGATCTAATAAAAGCTTGTCAGTAAAGTGAGGGGTCAGCCAGCCTGCACTTACCATCTGCAGAGGGGGCAGCCTGCACTTACCATCTGCGGAGGCCAGGGCAGGAAGTGCTCTGGGGTCTGCTGACCTGCCAGCCTAGTCTCATCCTCAAGCTCCAGCTACCCAGTAAGAACCAGCTCAAAACACAAGGTGTGTGGCTCTGAGCGGGACACCCAGGCTGTCCTCAACATTAAAGGACATGCATACCTATACACACACTCACTCACAGAACCAATCGTCTTTAGATTTTATAAAACGGAATTTTGTGCAAGGCCAACCAGGGCTGCACAGTGAGACTCTGTCTAAAGAAGAAAACAAATGGAAAAAAAAACCAACATAATCCAAACAAACAAAACCATGACTTCTGCCTTCCACAGGCTTCCTGTCTCCTGGAGATAACGGTACTTCCTCCTGGCCATGAAGGTCTTCCCGGTGGGCAGTTATAGTAAAAACAAAGAAAGAACTTAAGAAAGGGCAGAAAGATAAGAATGCTTTTCCTCTTATGGGGAGTTCTTGATCCTTTGTCTTTTGGTCATGATGGATTATCATCTATATAACTTGGGACTGTGAACTGAAACAAATCGTTTCCCCCTTAATGGCTTTTGTCAGAGTATTCTGTCACAAAGCAGAAAAGAAACCAAGACACTGACATACTGATTTTTTGTTTGTTTAGACATGATTTTACTGTGTAGCTCAGGCTGGCCTTGAATTTGTGATCCTCCTGCCTCAGCCTTTCCAGTGCTGGGGTCATACACGTACATCACCATGCCTGTTTGCTGCCATTGTTTGGGTTATCTGATTTTATTGCTCGCTCTCTTCTTTTTCTTCTTTCCCTGACTCTTCTGAACTGGGAGTCCACCCCTACAGATACTGACTTAAAAACACTGCAAATAGTCGACTCCTACTGCTCTCCCTCCTTCCACGCTCCTCCTGCCCTCCAGCCCTGTACTCCGGCCCCACTGGCTCCACTTACGCTACCATAGCCACATCTCCACTTCCCACACAGCCTCAGTCCTTACTATTCCCTTTTCTAGTCCAGCCTTGGCCTGGTCTTGACTTCTTTGTTCAGATTTTGTCTCCTCACTTCTCACCTCTTCCTTTCAAAGTTTCTCTGTGTGTTTGTAACTTACATGGCTTCATTATGGTGGTTATTTATCTACATGGGGCAAGGTTGAGATCAGGGTCCTCATCTTGTTTCACTCAACATTGTACCTTGACAGACCAGGACACAAAATGCTCTCGAAAATGTTATTTGAGTGAATTAATACATGGTCATTGCAATATAATAAAAACAAATCTACTCAAAAGGAAAGAATAGTGGATAGAATTATGGATAAAACAAGCAATGGCCACATTGCGGGGGCGGGGGGTGGCAGGGAGAACCTATCATATTATTCTCTACTTTTCCATGTTTTAAATTTTCTATGAAAAACATATTGAAAGAATCAGAATATTGTGTTTGGGGCTGGGGTGATGGCTCAGTGCTGGCCACACAAGTATGAGAACCTAAGTTCAAATCTACAAGTAACGTAACACCTGAAATCTCAGTGTTCCTATGGACAGTCCCTGGAGGCTCATGGGTGAGTTAGTCTGGGGGTATGTAGCAGAAAAACAAGAGACTCTGCTTCAAACAAGGTGACAGAGATGAAGACTGACACCCAATGTTGTCTTCTCTCTGCCACATGAGCACTATACTGTATGAGCGCACACACACACACACACACACACACACACACACACACAGAGAGAGAGAGAGAGAGAGAGAGAGAGAGAGAGAGAGAGAGAGAGAGAGAGAGAGAGAGAGAGAGAGAATGTGGTGTGTCTGGGGAATAAGTGGTAAACTTAACTTAAAATAAAAAATATTTTCTCTTTAGATTGAAATATTTTACTTAACCCCAAAGAAATTATACTGACTTGAAAATGTTTCGATAATGGTTCATTGGACCACTTAGTGCCCCAGGCTGTGAGAAGACATAAATGTAAGCTTCTAGGTCGTCTGTAGTCAGCCGACGTCCTCTCCGTCCAATGCCAGTGCTCTGGCTGGTGAACAGGTGTTTCAAAGCCTTATTTAAGCAAAAAGAGAATAATTTTAAAATTTCAGTCATCTAATAATAAACTAAATCTCTCACCGTAAAGGGACTGAGGGGTTGGCAGAGTAGCTCAGTTGATAGAGCACTAGGCTATCGTGCACAAATGTGGCTTGATCCCTAGTACTGCTTAAACTGAGCACAATGTCACGTGTCTGTCATCCCTGCACTTTGGAAGTAGATTCACAGGGACCAGAAGTCAAGATCATCTTTCTACATACTAGTCAGTCAAGACCACCCTGGCTTATATGAAGCCTAGTCTCAAATAAATGGGGGAGGTAGTATGGTAGTTAATATGGAGAGATGGTAGTTGATGTGGGGGAGGTATGGGAGTTGATGTGGGGGAGGTATGGTAGTTGATGTGGGGGGAGGTATGGGAGTCGATGGGGGGGAGGTATGGTAGTTGTTGTTGGGGGAGGTATGGGAGTTGATGTGGGGGAGGTATGGGAGTTGATGGGGGGAAGTATGGGAGTTGATGTGGGGGAGGTATGGTAGTTGATGTGGGGGGAGGTATGGTAGTTGATGTGGGGGGAGGTATGGGAGTTGATGTGGGGGAGGTATGGGAGTTGATGTGGGGGAGGTATGGTAGTTGGTGGGGGGGAGGTATGGGAGTTGCTCTATCTCAAGGTCTCATTGCTTATAGATGCATTTCACATTTCTGCTTTCTTAGCTTTTTTTTTATTCTTCCTTTTCAATCCCTTTGTGTATTCCCCCCTCTTGAAAAGCATTCTATCTTGGTGCCTATTCACATTCTATAAGACCCTTCCAGGCAGTACCTCTACCAAAATGCCTTCCTTAATATTTCAACTACTGTTTAGTGGCCAGGAAGCTCCTTCTTACAAAGTTATTCAAACCAGAATAACACACTTTACATCACAACTTAGTTATTCCCACCAGTTTCATAAATAAATGAAGTGAAAGTTTAAAGAAATAGCCTTTAGGCTTATTACCACACTTATTGATATTTTCAAGTCAGTTTTGTCACACTTGGCTTTTAAAATCCTAACTGCAAGCTATTAAATTGCTATAGTGATTCACCCACATTTCAAAAAGTACCACTGTATTCCATTATTTCTCTACACACAGATCTAAACCACCTGTCCAGAATCACTGTCATGCTTGTTTAAAATGTGAGTCCTGAGGCTACTGATAACCTGGGTCTGAGTCCCAGGCCCCACACGGTAGGAAAAGAACTGACTAATGCACTCTGTTCACTCACCTTCACATCTACCACACACACAAATAATAAAAATGGAACAATTTTTAATGTAAGTCCTTCTACACAAAAACACACCTGAAAAAATGTGAGATAGTATTATACATGATGTGATTAATTACATTATTTGTAATTGAAAATGACCAGAAAAAAGGTCAATACCCGTCAATTGAGGACTAGTTGAATAAATTCTCCTACAGTCACACAATGTTTACAAAGTGCTCTTAACACCACAGGTAAAGATGAAACTCTATGTTTCCCTGGAGTAATGGCCAGGCTACATTACTAAGTGAAACAAAAAGAACAAAATACACAGAACACTGGGGTACAAAATAGTGTCTATTGTCCACTATTCACTGTGTAAGAAGGGTAAAGGATCACTTTATTGTAATAAACTCACAAATAAAAGCATCACTTGGCTAGATTAGGGTAACTGCAAAAACAAACACCTGCCCAGTCTATATTGTTGTAGAATATTATTGTAAGGTTTGTTACTTTTGTTTATGTTGCATTTGTGTAACTCTGTGAAGCTGTGTTAATGTGCCTTTCTAAAACACCTGGTGGTCTAATACAGAGCTGAATGGCCAATGGCGAGGCAGGAGAGAGAAATAGGTGGGGCTGGCAGGCAGAGAGAATATATAAAGGAAATAATCTGGGAAAGAAGATCAAAGAAGGAACCAGAGAAGGAGGAGGACTCTAGGGGCCAGCCACCCAGCTATACAGCAAGCCATGAATAAGAGTAAGATTTGCAGAAGTAAGAGAATGGGAAAAGCCCAGAGGCAAAATGTAGATGGGATAATTTAAGAAAAGCTGGTAAGAAACAAGCCAAGCTAAGGCCAGGCATTGATAATTAAAAATAAGCCTCCATGTGTGGGAGCTAGGTGGCAGGACCCCCAGAAAAGCAAAAACAAACCAAACCAACAACATTATATATTTTGGTGAACTTCTGTATAGTTAGAATGGACATTCTGAAGCCCTGGAGCTTCAACTAAGGTTTTTACACCTCCACTATCAACTGAATTTTTTGTACTTTTTGAATACACACACACACACACACAAGAACCAATAGAACTAGAAAAAAAATCACATCGAGTGAGATAATCCAGACTCAAAAAGACAAATGTCACATGTTCTCTCTTATTGGAGGCTCCTAACTCCAGATCACTAGATGTGAGTACATAGCCTGTAGTAGCTATAGAAACCAGGAACGTAAACAAGCACTGCTGTCAGGAGAGGGGAGTTGGGGAGCAATAGAGGGGAATAGCTGGTAGAAGTGATCTAACAGGAAAATGGGAAAGGAGCTGTTCTTTAGGGGAGGGGAGGGAGGTAAACACAGAAGCAGTGGGAGGTGGATAAAATAACAATAAGGATGTCTGAAAAGCTGCAAAGAATCATAATATTAACTACCTAAAAAATAAAAACCTATGATACATGTCATCCCATGTATTATATACATGTAAATATATACATATATTTGGATTTGGAATGTCAGTGCTCCCTCCAAGAGTCAAAGACCACCTCCCAAAAATCCCAACACCAAACTTGAGATGCTTTCGTTTGAGTTATTACCCAGGGCTGTGTAAGAGATTCCCAAATCATTCAGGCTTTGGCTGTTGCCCTTGGTTGCCTCCAAGAGGTGGAAGGTAAATTCTTAGTGCAGAAGACACCATGCACATCAGTTGCAGGCCCAGAGACCCCTGAGCTGGAACTGACCTGAATGCCCCCTCCCTGAGTACTAGCTTTTATGGTACCAGCAGGCACCACGCAAACTTCCAAAGGAGGGGAGCCACCAACAGTCCTACCCAGCTGTGACACCTGCGAACCACATCAAGGACCAGTGTGACGTGATAACACTAAGGGTGTATATAGTAGGGGCACACACCTCTTGGTGGTAACCAACAGCTCTCTAATTGGACTTGAGACATGTTCAACCAGAGGGATGCCATGACTGGTCCTGGAGACCTAGTTAACTACTCAGTTAAGCTAGTGAAGTCATGGTTATTGAAGGAGGGTCTAAAACCTCTAATTTACTAAACCAGCATAGTCCCTAATAACAGTATACAATGTTCATCCTTATACCCATGGATGAATACACAGTCTTCACGCTTCGCCAAGGAAACGTCTCTTTGCAACTGACAGAGGCCACTACAGAAAAACCACATCCAATCAAAACGCAGAGTTGTGGAGCTCAATCCCAGTGGATACATCTACAAGATATTTTCACATCCAAGGCTCAGGGAACATTGTCAGAGAGGGGGCAGAAAGACTGTAGGAGCCAGAGGACCGGGGAGTTTGCTGTGAGACTGTGTCTCCTAGTGACACCAGAAGCTACACCCATGAGTCTCACCAACATGACCGCCGAAACAGGAGCTGAACAAGGACGACACCAATGGACGTGCTGAAGTGGACAGAGAAAAACCCAGGAGGCCTCAACCCTACTCAAAGAACTACAGGCAACTGAGGAAAGCTGGGGTGAGAGAACAGCTCCTCCCTAGAAAAGAGCACACCGATTGGCTGGCCAGTGCCAAATGGCCAGCTCGGAAAACACACAGACAATAATATTTGGAACGAATAAGTTATAGTTAGCAATGTATATGTATGTACATATACAGTAGTGAAAAGGAGGCCATAACTTTTAAGGAGAGTGAGGAAAGGCATATGGGAGGGTTTGGAGTGAGGAAGGGAGAAATACTGTAAGTTTTCTCAAAAGGGAAAAAAATACAACTTAGTTGAAATTAGAAAAACAATGAACTTGTATCCTCTTTGCAAGTGGTACGTTCTTTCCCCTGAATTCCATCCTTTCTCGTGGCTTTACCCTTTCTTGATCTCCTTTCTGAATGTTACACAACACTCACACTTACAGTTGTTTACACATAAACATGCATGCATTATAGGCTAGGTTATATTTTACAAAAATAAATAAGTTAAATAAGATGGTCTCCTATGAGAGAGGGCGAGAGCAGGGTGGATGGACAGACAGACAAGCAAGACTGCTCTAAATATGGTTTGTCTAAGCCCTGACATGGAACGATACAAATGTTTTATATAATATCAAAGAAGTTAATTAAAATCCTGTTGTAAGTTTGCTTTGGAGATACAAGCAAGATTTCATGATTCATTTCTTCTTTCTAAAAACTATAAACAAATTTTGTCTGATAAAAGTATCTAGAAACCCCATAAAAATGATCACCTTGACATCCAAACTGTGGTCTCTAAATACCATTTCCCACTAGGCAGAATAACAGTTTCTTAGATAAATGGATGATTCCACACTGGGACAAGAAGTAACAGTTTCCTGAGTTAAATATTAACTATCATAATTTTAAGTGATTATGTAACAAAGACACAGAGGCCCAGCTACAGGGACTTCCACTTGGCTCGTATGGAATAATGTGGGCCTCAAAAACAAAAATGACTAGTATTTATTGGCATATCAAATATATACTCATTACATGATCATTCATCCTGTTATTTTTGTATTAAAAACCACCAAAAAGATGCAAAAAGTTCCAGTTGATAAAAGCAGAATGACAGAATTAGAAAAATCACCATTTTGCATACTGTACTGAAATAATAAAACTAGATTGCTAGCAGCAACATAAATTTGGTACAGTGCCAGGAAATTGTGGCTTGGCTGGGCTAACATGTAACTGAAATGGAGACGACCAAACATATCAGGTTTCACTGAGAGGACTGAGAGGAAATGTATAGTATTGCCTTTTGAAAATCCTTGTCCAATTATTAAAGCCCAATATAATTAAGCCATGGCTATTGGGCCACGTTGAACAGCACCACCTCAGGGCAGCTAGTAAATCCCAACTGTGCGTCCTCCCTCAGGGCGAACTATCTAATTGCTTCAACTTCAAGTTTGCTTATTAAGACAGGGTCTGGCTGGCCTGGCCCTTACTGTGTAGACCAGGCTGGACTCAGATTTGTGGCGATCTTACTGCCTCGGCCCTCTGCCTCCCGAGTGCCGGAATTACAGGTATGTGTTACAGGTATGTGCCACCATGCCCTGCTAAGAGATGTTTAAAAGAAAAGCAAAGAAACAAGGAACTTGAAACAATTTTTGAAAGCTGTAGCAGCTGGGTATGTTGGTCTGACCCTGTTGTCTCAAGCTACCCAGAAGGATGAGGCAGGAGGATTTCTTGAGCCCCCAAATTTAAAAACAGCCTGGGAAATGTAATGAGTCTCTGTAAAAGGAAAAGGGGAGGGGGCAGGGGGAGAGAAAAGAAGAGAGAAGAAAAGCAAACAAACAAACATAACAACCAAATACAATACCTGTGGCCCTTGTTTAGTTCAGAAAAATGACATGTATCAAGACAACTGAAATCTTTAAGGAAATTTGAACACATATTAAGGAGTTGCTCTTTATTTTGTTAGGTTTGATAGTGGTATTAGAGTTATGTATTTTCAAAAGCCCTTATTGGCTGGGGTGCATCTCAGTAGTTAGGGTATATTTAGCATTTTCAAAGCTTTGAGTTAATTGGGTTCATTCTCCAGAACCTCATCCAACCTCAGGAAAGGGCCCTCACTTGTCAAAGATATACATGGAATTATTTCCAGTAATATTATTATTACTTTTTTTTAAACCTCCCCCAACAGCTAATACTGTCTAAGGCATCCACAAGCTCCTCAGATGCTTGTGGTGAGGATGTATAGCACACTGACCCCGGGAGCAATACCCAGTGCTCACTTTGTTTACAGGTCCCTTTCTTTCTAGGGCTTCCATTTCTGCTATCTAACTTTCCCGGAACTCACAGTGCCTACCTCTCCATCAGAAGCGCTCTAAAAAGAGATGCCCACCTATAATGAAGGGCGAGGACTTGGGCAGATTCCCTAATAGGCACACAGGGGGAGGGGCCATGCTAGGTAACAAAAGTAGTGACCTTCCAAGATAGCCAGCTTCTCCCTCACCTAGGATACAAAAGCCTGGCAGTTTAAAACAAAGGCCTTGAGGACTTTTCTCCTGCCTACAGGGCCCCTGCTAACAGACTGTCTCAATACGTTCAAGGCCAGATCTGCACAAGTTTATACAACCATTGTGGGCCAATTAGCCATCCTGTCTTTCCTCTTTAGACTGGCCAACCTAAACTGGGGAGGAAGACCTTTCAGAGACTTAAAAAAACCTCAGCACTCAGGAAGAGACTGGAGTTTTGGTTTCCTGAATCGTTGTTTTTCTCTGTGTGCCTCCCGCAAGTGTTTCCTCACGCCCAATAAGTAAGTCTCTCTTCAGCTGCTGGTTCTCTCTGCTCTCCTTTGCTATCTCTGAGATTTCTCTGCTGATACCCCTCTTGTTCAAGATTTTTTTCCTGCCTTTTAATTCTTTAGCCGGCAGAGAAAACAACCGAATTAAGAGACTCCTAGATAGTAACAATAAGATACAAGCTCCTGTACAAAGTTAACAGCCAGGCTTTCAAACACATCAATAGAGATATAAAGATAAGTAAGCCTGAGAGAAAGTCTTTAAACCTACTGTGTGGTTTGAATGAGAATGGCCCCATAGGCTCGTATGTTTGAATGCTTGGTCCTCAGTTGGTGGAACTGATTTTGGAAGGATTAGGAGGTAAGGCCTTGGGAAAGGGAACTGTGGTTGGTATATAAAATGAAATAAATAAATAAATAAATAAATAAATAAATAAATAAATAAATAAATAAATAAGGAGGTAAGGCCTTGTTGCTGGAATAGCTATCACTATGGCCTGGGTTTTAGGATCTCAAAGCCCACACCAGGCCCAATCTCTTTTTCTCTTCCTGCAATTTATGGATCAGATATGAGCTCTCAGCTACTGCTCCGGCACCATTCCTGCCTGCCTATCGGCCACCATGCTCCCTGCCATGATGATAATGGACTGAGTCTCTGGAACTGTAAGAGAGTGCCCAATTCATTGCTGTCTTTTATAAGTTGCCTTGGTCATGGTGTTCTCTCATAGCAATAGAACAGTAACTAAGACATCTGATGATTAAGTTTTAACATTTTCATTTCATTTTTCATTCTTAAAGATGGATTTTCATTAGAAATATTCATCATAAATAATAATTATAATAAAGTATTTGTTTGACTTACCTTGAAATCATTAATTGAGAACATAAATTCTGGGAACCATGGTATTTGGAAGAAGTAATAAAAGCTAGATCTGAACAGCTGGGCAGGGTGCCGCAGTATGTAGTCTGAAATTAAAGTGCTGTGTTAGACATCATCCAAGAGCTGTAAATTAGTTACTGTTGAGGGAACTTCTTACACTGATTTCACTTTTTAGGCAATCCCATTAAACAATCCGTAAGTTATACCCTTGTCCTTTTATTTTGATTGGTATTTCAGTGTTTAGAAAAGTATATCACTTTAAACAAAAAGGAAGTTCCTCTCTATGAAGCTTTCACTCAGCAGGAAGCCCACATTACTCTGCTAGTCCTCTAAGGTCATTATCCCACACCTAACAATTTTCTTAGGAATTTATGGTGATGCAATATCCCATTGTTTAAAAGAGTTTTTTTATAGACAGATTGAAGTCTTTACCACTGACCCTCAAGAGCAACTGAATCATTTCCTACACATTTATTCATGTATCTAGAAAACTATTCATTGAATGACAGTTTTGTTTTGTTTTGTTTTGTTTTGTTTTTCTGGTTTTTCGAGACAGGGTTTCTCTGTGTAGCTTTGCGCCTTTCCTGGGACTCACTTGGTAGTCCAGGCTGGCCTCGAACTCACAGAGATCCGCCTGCCTCTGCCTCCCGAGTGCTAGGATTAAAGGCGTGCGCCACCACCGCCCGGCTGAATGACAGTTTTTGAATCAATTGAAAGGGGGTTTATCAGTGAATGAATAGAAAAGGCTCCCAAAAGATGGTCCTTTGCAGAGAAAGCATCCAACATTTTCAAGATCACTCCGAGGTCAGTGGTGTGAGCTCCAAAATGGGCCCCTCAACTGCTGGTGACAATGTCCTGAACAGAAGGACTGTCATTGGGTGAACAGAAGACTGAAGTCAGGTTTCTGTTTTCCAGGAACCTCCATGAATCTGTCCCCAAAGCTCAGCTACCCTGGGACAAGGGCATCTAGCTCCCGATCAGTCCAAACAGCCCATATCAGTTCAAAGACAGCCCAGCACATACACACACTGTCATACAAAACCTGCTTGCTTTCCTGACATTTTTCTTCTCTCTGCCCCCTCAACCCCCACACATCCCAGAGATAGCCTTGAAAGTTTGATCCCCAGTAAACCTTCCTTTCTACTCATGGAGTGGTCCAGTTTGGTGATTTCACTGTGCCCTTGCTAATAAGTGGTAGAGTGTTTTGTCTAATGTGCACAAGGCTCTGGGCTCAATCCCCAACAACACACAGCATAAGGAAAATAGAACAAGGTAATCTTATTGAGAGTGATAGTGGAAGAGGGTGGGGAGACCATCAGGAGAAGGCCTCTCGACATGCATGTGGCAGTTGGGCTTGGTGTTGAATGGTAAGAGGGACCCAGCTGTGCGAAGATCTAGCAAGGGCATCCAGGAACAGCCAGATAGGTCCTGGGGTTGACAGATGCAAGAAGCAGAAAGCCAGAGCAGCTGTGTTCAGGGCAGGAGGAGGCACATAGGAGATGAATGGAGAGGAGGAGCCTGATTGGGTAGGTGTGGAATGGTGAGCACTTTTAAGTACTTGGCAAGACACTGAAGACAAATCAGGAGAAATCTCACACATGGGGAGTGTTTGCCTGACCTGGTCCTGAGCTCTGTTCTCCTTGCTATGGTTTTTATTTCTCATTTTATAACTATATGCCTGAGTCTGGAGTTTCAGGAATACCCTTTTCAGGTAACTGTGCCATTGCTATGCTAGACTTTTTTGTGACTTCATCAGCGAAGCTTTATTTACTTAAAACAAGAGAAATCAATTTAACTGATTAAGTTACTGCTCAATTTAACTGGAAAATAAATCCAGGCATATCATCTGCAATTACTTGGTGGGGTTGTAAGAAACATCAAATATGAGTCTTTTCTATTAAACACTATAAAACTCAGAATAAGAAACTCAAAATTTTATCCCCACCCACACCCCATACAAACGTTTTACTCCCCCTCTGTCCCTGAACCAAGTAAAACCTTTGTTTACACAAAGGTCTACTGGATGTTCCAGGAACTTGATGGCCTCGACTACTGATCCTTCTCTCCTTGGAGCAGTGACCACTTCCCCCTTCCTTCATTTCCTGTGTGCCTGTTCTTTTCAGGTCAGAGCCCAGTCAATGGGGAAAAGACACGTCACCAGCTGAGTTACAACAGAAACCAAATGGACTTCCTGTCTTGGCTTGTTTTTCCCTTCTAAGCACAGCTTCTTGGCCAAGAGTAAAGTTCGCCTTGTCCAGACACTCCAGATGATTGGATGACTTTCTTTAGGACCCCCAACTCACTTCTAACAGGGCTAAAGCTGTCATAGATAACACATTCTATACTTATTCCAAGTGCTTCCACGGGAAGCCAAGAATTACACTTTATCATACAGCACCACCAACAAATAACAACTAACTCAGGGTCCTGAAGACTCAGCAGGTATGCACTTCAATTTCTTAATTTAACTGAGAAAAGTATAACAACGTTTAGGGCATTTTAATAGCAAACACCCATCCTACCTCAACAGAGGTCAGCTGGTGGAGGTGTACCTGAACTTCAGCCCTGATACTGAAAATATGCAGTGTCTATATAGTCATTAGGACCCTGTTATCCTTATTTAATTTTGAGGAGAAATAGAAAAGTGTTGTTCTGAACTTAAAAAAAAAAAAAGGCATGTGTTTTTGTGTGTAGGTGTACACGTGACATGCATGCCTATGGAGGTCAGAGGGTAACCTGTGGGAGTCAGTCTTCTCCTTCCACCACGGGGGTTCTAGGGATGGAACTCGGCTCATCAAGGTTGGTAGCAAGTGCCTTTACCTCTTTTTTTTTTTTTTTTTTTTTTTTTTTTTTTGGTTTTTCGAGACAGGGTTTCTTTGTGTAGCTTTGCGCCTTTCCTGGAACTCACTTGGTAGTCCAGGCTGGCCTCGAACTCACAGAGATCCGCCTGGCTCTGCCTCCCGAGTGCTGGGATTAAAGGCGTGCGCCACCACCGCCCGGCTGCCTTTACCTCTTAAGCCACCTCGTCAGCCCCAAGTTCTGAACTTTTTGTTTCCTAAATGACCTGCTGTGGATCCTAGAAGTACCTAAATTTCAGAAAACCCAACAACAGCAATTGAACAGGACAAAATTATAATTTTGCCAAAACCAAATATAAACGTGCAAGGTCACTATTAAGCATTTGAGAGTTTCCTTCAAGACTGTTCATGAGCACCCTTGGGGGTAGCCAAGATCCCTTTAGGTATCTCAGTGATGATCGATCCACTTCACAGCAATCTGAGGCACTATTTGCTTGTTTTAGCCATGTTGAAATCTGCACTGGTGCTGCAAAGCAACGGCAGAGAAAGCTCCTCCTTGAGCACAGGTTGACACAGCGACTAACCGTCACTGTGTTCTTCACCACTGCTCAGCGGTGAATAAATCAACTCAGTAATTCCATTAAAAGTCAGTTTTGCAGCCGGGCGGTGGTGGCGCACGCCTTTAATCTCAGCACTTGGGAAGCAGAGCCAGGCGGATCTCTGTGAGTTCAAGACCAGCCTGGCCTACAGAGTGAGTTCCAGGAAAAGCACCAAAACTACACAGGGAAACCCTGTCTCGGAAAAAAAACAAAACAAAACCAAAAACAAAAAATCCCCCCCCAAAAAAGTCAGTTTTGCTTAACAATGAAATAACAAAATCTTAACTTACTAATTTTCAACCTTTGAATGTATCTTTTTAATAGCCCACATGACCAGATATAGAGAACATAGTACGCAGTTCTGCTACTCACCTGAATATAAGGTGGTCTCAAGAAAAGCACTGTGACCAGGTGTGGTGGCAAAAGCCTTTGATCCCAACACTTGGCAGGCAGAAGCAGGTGGATCTTTCTGAGTTTGAGGCCAGCCTCATCTACATAGTGAGTTCCAGGACAGTCGGGGTTATGTAGTGAGACCCTGTCTCAAAAACAAAAAGGAAAGGAAAACACCTGTGCAGCTGAATTAATGAGTGAGAGCTTCATTTTTTTTTAATGGAACACCATTTTTACTGGAAAGATGTACTATCCTTAGTCAGCATGGATGTTTGCGCTCTCTCTCTCTCTCTGTCTCTCTGTCTCTGTCTCTCTGTCTCTGTCTCTGTCTCTCTCTGTCTCTCTCTCTCTCTCTCTCTCCCTCTCCCTCTCCCTCTCCCTCTCCTTCCTTCCTCCTGCCCTCCCTCCCTATCCCTTGAGACAGGATCTCATTAGTTAGCCCTGGAACTCTATGTAGACCAGGCTAGCCTTAAGCTCACAGAGCTCTTTCTGACTCTGCCTCCCAAAGGCTGGGAATAAAGGTGTAGACCACCAGGGCCACCCAATATTCTCTGGAAAATGACCACAATGGTCAACTTAAAAGAAAAACAATCCACAGTATCTGTTGTCATTGATACAACTCAGGTTTCCAATTGAAAACAAGGATTTTTATTTGTTTGTTTTATGTATTTGAATGCTTTGTTTTCATTTATACCAGAAGAGGGCATCAGATCTCATTACAGATGGTTGTGAGCCACCATGTGGTTGCTGGGAATTGAACTCAGGACCTCTGGAAGAGCAGCCTGTACTCTTAACTGCTGAGCCATTTCTCCAGCCTGAAAATACGGATTTTTGAAACGTTTTAATCTGCTAGATTTAATCTGCTAGGAGCTAGAAATTTTTCAACATTGAAGACTTTTCTGTATAGAGGAGGGTTTGAATTAGTTAATGTGATTTTTAAAACATGTCAACTTGTTGAAAATCTGCATGCCTTTACAAGCAATGATGATGTTTCAATGCACGATGATTCATATAATTCAGAGGGTAAGAGTGCTATAGAGAGCCACAGATCTCAATGTAACTATGTCACATTCTTGCTTATGAAATGATTAATTTTTTTGAGTTTGGTATAGTATTAAGAAAACCCTCGATCATTTGAAAGTTTATTAAAGCACTGTAGCCTTCCCAGCCTCACGTGGCTAGTGAGGTCATGGGTCTTAGAGAAGAACCTGCTCCTGCCATTTCCCAGACCAGTGTAATTCCTAACTGCATTCCGTACACCCACAGCTGAGTGCGGCTCTCACTCCTCACCTCATCAAAGAGGCTGCTTTTTGCAACAGACAGAGACTATTGAAAAAGGCCACAACTACTCAAAATACAGAGAACAACTGACCTTGGAATCCTCGGGCCCAAGTGGTAGATCCACAACACAACTCCTGCTCCAAAGGCTCAAGAGATATCAGGGAAGAGAGAGCAGGGGGAGGACCAGGAGGTCTGCTCTGAGGGTGTGTCTTTGAGCTATGACAGGGAAGCAACATCCATGAGATCTCAACACAGGACCTGCCTAAACAAGACCTGAGCAATTCCAACACCAGTTGACATCCCAATAGAGCTGGGAGAAATCTCATGGGACCCCACCCCTGGATGAAGAGCTATAACTGCTGAGAGAGATTGGTTATCCAATACCAAGTGGTCAGCCCTAGAAACATATGCATGCAGGCAACACTGGAGAGACTCAGTGGTCATATTTATATATTTATTCATTTTCATGTATATGTAACAAAAAACGGTTAAGGAAGAGGAGGCTGTGAGTTTGGGAGTGGACATGGTCGGGTGGAAGAAGGAGCAGACAGAGATGTGGAGACACTCCTGCCTTTTCCGATGACAAATTTGTGTGAGGCCAGATTTCTTCTCACACTTCTGCTCTGGGAGCATATTGCAACAGATTGAAGGCAGAAGCAGAGAGGAGAGCCCAGCTGTCTTCTGTTATGCCAGAATTAAAGAGATTTGTAAAATGTGAAACTTTCAAATGTGAACGTAAATGTAAAATTTTCACTAAAATTTGTTCAGTGTAGTCCAGTCAGTTTTTATCACAATATAGTGTTTATGTAAACCTGTAATAAATTTTTGAAATGAGTGGATATATAAATATATTTTAAACATCCCAGTTTTGATTTACTAATTAGTAACCACTTTAGATATAACCAAAATAAACAGACTCTCCTCTTTAATAATTTTAAGAGAATAAAGAGTCCTGAGGTCAAACAGTTGAGGATTAGAAATACTTTTACATTCAACAGCTAAAGTACTCAGAAAAGAGGAGAATTTCTTTTTGCCAGGATTCATGACTTTCAAAGTATGCCACCACATTCCTTCCCTTATCCCTCTCCAAGTTAAGTGAAATATTGTCCAAAAAAGAATGAAATTATACAAGCAAATAAGAAGCTAAATTTTCTTAGATTTGTTTTCAGGAAAGTTTAAAACCAAAGTATTAGGCTGGCATTGTAGCTCAGTGGTAGAGTACCTCACTATCGATTGTAGAGACCTGGGCTTGATCCCCAACACACACACACACACACACACACACACACACAGAGAGAGAGAGAGAGAGAGAGAGAGAGAGAGAGAGAGAGAGAGCAGGGCTTGATGGCAAAAGCCTGTACTCCCAGCACTTGGGAGGATGAAGCAGGAGCATTGACAGCTCAGGTCAGCCTGGGCTACAGTGTAAGGCTCTGTATGAAAAAAACAACCAAACAAATTAAGGTATCTGACGTCATGTATCATCTTGGCTTAGTGGGTTAACTTTATTTATTTATCTATCTACCGACTTATTTATTTGTTATCTATGTTTGAGGCAGAGTCTCACTGTGTAGCTCAAGCTGGCCTTGAACTCTCCACCCTCCTGCCTCAGCCTCCCAAGGGCTGAGATTACAGCTGTTTACCACTATGTCCAGGTGAATTTAACTTTTAAAAGATTATGTTAACCAAATTTTGCTGGTTTTTTAACCCAAGATGTCAGTGGTGATAGGGAACTAAGTGGTTTAACAAAAATTTAAACTCACCTGTAAATACACTTGGATGTGGGAAGTTAATAACAATGAGCTTCATTATCATCTCAGGGTAGCAGATGGCAATCAGCCAGGCAATCATGCCTCCCCAGTCATGGCCAATCAGGACACATTTGCTATACCCTGTGACCAAGAAAAACATGTTGGCATCATTGTAAAGAAACAGGTGGTGACATCATTATCTCACATAAAAGAGTTACATTTCTGAAACTATTCTTTCTTTTAATTTTCATTATTAAGAAATTTTCTGTTCATTTAACATATGAACCACAGATCACAGATCACCCTCTCCTCCCTCATCCCGCCCCCCAGCCTTCCCCTAACAGCCCCCCCCCACCTCCTCCAAGGCAAGGCCTCCCATGGGGAGTCAGCACAGCCTGGTACATTCAGTTGAGGCAGGTCCAAGCCCCTCCTCCCTGCACCAAGACTGTGCAAGGTGTCCCACCACAGATGAAATATTCTTACCACTATCTTACCCACTATAAATTACACACTTTAAAAACGTGTGTGTGTGTGTGTGTGTGTGTGTGTGTGCATGTGCTCGTGTGCGTGTGCTCACACTTATATTCCCAGTGTGCTTGGATGGCAGAAGCAGGAGTCCAAGGGCAGCCTGTTTCATACTGTCTCAAGAAAAAAGTAGCTATTGAGTCCAGTAGTTCTAAAACTTGTTTGTACATTAGATACTGGTCCAAGCTCTGAGAATAGGTGACTGTTGAGGGCTCGGTCCTAAATGGGACTTTTATGTCAACCTATCCCCACGAAAGCTCAGGAAAGGTCAAGGAAGAGGGAGTGAGAGAACAGGAATGCTGGAGGCCTGAGACCAGCGCTGGGGAATGCGCTGTCCTTGACCGATGACTCAACCACCACGCTCCCAAACTCACTGCAGCTGTGGTTACCTGCGGGCAACCCAGAGTGGCTGGGGGCTCTACCCTTCCCCGGAGGAGCTATAGGCAACTGAGGGTGCTGAAGCAGGGCTGGCTGCTGGGACGGAGTGGCTGCTGGGACTGGGGTCCTTCTTCTTTTAGGGCTGCGGCTGCTGTTAGATTGCGCATGCTCCAGGTGCTGCCCCCCCCCCACCATGTGCAAATGTCAATATTAATTGGACTTAGTGCGTTTAAAAAATAGAATTCATGAAGGGGATATGATAGGAGGAAATGTGAGGGGCCGGGGGCATTGGAGGAGAAATAAATAAAAAGTATTCTAAAAAAAAAATCTGAAATAATTCAGGTTTGGTCTTATGGACTTATATCTGGAAGCTGTGGTAGAAACTGTACATAAGTAGGTCATAAATAAGATTATTTGGGGTAGAGTTTGAAGGTTAGCTGTCTTAGTGATACAGTGCATGGTTTATATTATTAATATATTATTCTTTTATTGCCATTTTATAGTGTCCTTCCTCAAATTATAAAAATCATTTACTATAAAACAGTATGTTGTGGTATGCCAGCAAGAACCTCATACACCTATGTTTACTAATTATCTTGATTGTACAGAGGCCACATTCAGTGACTGATGTATGCCTCCTGGCCTTGGTAAGCACGCTTGTGGAATTGGCATAAGGACAGATTTGCTTACTGATGCATTTCTCAGAACGTGTCCTATCATTCAGGGACACATGAATGTGTAAGTTTCATTCAGGGTAATCATAATGATATTCTGAATTAGATTTAAGAAATCGATTATTAGAGATCCCTACAGGATTTCCTTTGTGCATATGGATAAGACTCACCTGCAGTGTCTTTCTAGCATTTCTCACCATTACGTAAATAACACACACGTATACACACACACTTGCAAACACTCCCCCCACTACACATACACAGAGTCTTCTTGCTTCTATTATTGATTTGGCTGTAAGATTTTGAGATGACAAATTTAGGCCTATTCTAACTGAATTATTGGCAAATCTGAATGAAGCATATATAATTGAAATCAATGCCAGAATCTGTTACTATGTCAGATTCAGAAAACACACACACACACACACACACACACACACACACACACACACACACACACACACACACACACTAAACAAAAACACACACTACGGATGGTACTCAGGCTCCACCCACCGTTTATTCCTCTAAAATTACTCACTGTATCTATACTTTAATCATATTATGATATTCTTACAGTCTTGATTTAGTGAAGTTCCTCTTCCCCTACCCTGGAGTTATTTTATTAACACGCCGATGGCTGGGCCAAGGAGATGGCTTAGCAAGTAAAGGCACTTGCTGTCAAGTGTGAGGACCTGAGTTTGGTCCCCAGAATCCGTGGAAGGAGACAATGGAGAACTGACCTCCACAGCCATGTACCCCTCCCAATATAAACATAAATAAACACACCAACGGCAGGACGCAGTCATTTTGTTTTGTTCCTTTAGTCAAAGTGAGGTTTGGAGATTGGGTGATTGTTACACAAGAAATATACTAAGTGCCTCTTTGATGTTAGACTTGGCCATGTGCCTGGCTTTGGTCCCTTGGTGGCTGCATGACTTGACCTTTGGTTCTGGTGACCGTGTGCCTGGCTTTGCCTTGTGGGCTGTTAGCCAAAACTTGAAATACACCGTGCAGCTGGGCTCAACCTCTCACCTCTGCTGTCACAAGAAGAACCCCTCTGCTCCTACCTATCTCCTTGGCGTGGGCCACAGCTCAACTCTCACAGAGAAGCTGATCGGTCCCATGTGGACCTACACCCAGCCTGTGGATGCCTGTAGAACCCTGAGCATAGGAATAAATAACATGGTTGTCTTTCCCTGGGTTTGGGGAGATTTCTCACACAGTTTTGTAGTAGTTGACAGATACAAGAGAGACCATGTAAGTGCCTCTGTATCTTAAACTGGTTTTAAAATGAATATTTAGGTATAGGCTCTGAAGAGAGAAATTTTCTGGGTGTAATTTTCTTAAAATAATAAGCAGTATGTTGCTGTGGGATGTTCTGTATGGCAAATGTGTTGCTCTGATTGGTTGGTAAATAAAGCACTGATTGGCCAGTAGTCAGGCAGGAGGAAGTATAGGCGGGACAAGGAGGAGAATAAAGCTGGGAAGTGGAAGACTGAGTCAGAGACACTGCCAGCCGCCATGATGAGAAACAGCATGTGAAGATGCCGGTAAGCCACAAGCCAAGTGGCAAGGTATAGATTAATAGAAATGGATTAATTTAAGCTGTAAGAACAGTTAGCAAGAAGCCTGCCAAGGCTATACAGTTTGTAACCAATATAAGTCTCTGTGTTTACTTGGTTGGGTCTGAGCGGCTGTGGGACTGGCAGGTGAGAGAGATTTGCCCTGACCGTGGGCCAGGCAGGAAAACTCTAGCTACCGTATGCCTTATGTCCTTTTTTGTCCCAGTCAGATGGGGACCCCCCCTTCTCTTATTCTACCAAAAGAAGAGAGGAAAAGTTTGTTTGCTTGTGGTTCACTATTTTTGATATGCCAGAGATGGAACCCAGCACCTTGGACATGCTAGCCAAGCAGCCTATCACTGGACAACTGCTGAAGCCCTAAGAAAGTTCTTTTTTTGGTTTTTGTTTTTGTTTTGTTTTGGGTTGTTTTTTGTTTTTTGTTTTTTTCGAGACAGGGTTTCTCTGTGTAACAGTCCTGGCTGTCCTGGAACTCACTGAGATCCACCTGCTTCTGCCTCCCAAGTGCTGGGATTAAAGGCATGCGCCACCACCGCCCAGCAAAAGTTCTGTTTTTAAGTGCAGTTCTGAAAGCCATTCTTAGCTGGATACTCAAGATGCAGAATTTTAAGTTCCTCACACAAACAGTTTGGGCTGTATTCCCAGAATGATGTAGCCAGGATCTTGGTAACAGTTTAGCTAGATATAAAACATCCTCCCGAGGAAAGAAGTGGTCAGTTCACAGTTTATTAAATGTTACTTCCTTTAAAGAATTAATGAGGATACTGGCTCCGGCAATGGGGAGCATTTGCTGCTCTTGCCGAAGGCCTGGGTCCTGTTCCCAGCACCCACGGCAGCTCACAACTACACTGACCTCAGTTCCAGAGGATCTGGTGCCCTCTTCTGGCTTCTGTGGGAACCAGGCATGCACATGGTGCACACACACACACACACACACACACACACATACACATATATGTATAGGCAAAACACTCATAAACACAAAAAATAGAAATAATAATAGATCTTTGAAAAAGAATTGGAGAATTTTTAGAGAGCTGACTCAGGTGTTAAGGGTGCTTATTGCTCTATCAGGAGGCTAGAATGTGGATCCCAGTGCCCAGAGCAGGCTCACAAACACCTGTAACTTCCAAAGAACCCAACGCCTTCTTCTGGACTCTGTGGGAACCTGCATACACCTGTGTGCATCCACCCACACAGACACAGAAACACACACACACACACACATAAATAATTTTTTAAAGGGCTAACCTACCTAAGGAGTCTAAAATATCCTTTATGTCTGCAATTAGACAGTCCAGTTTATAACTCTCTTGATGCGTCGGTGCATCTGACTCTCCATAGCCTCTCAAATCCAGTGCGACGACTCTGTATTCACTTTTAAATTCTCTCAGCTGATGACGCCAAGAATACCTGATGAGAAAAAGAAACGTTAAGAATGTTGGCCCCGGGAGACAGTGGGTGAAGTTCCCAGCAATACTGACTCCCTGAGCTTGACCCCGAGCATGTACACGGTAGGAGGAGAAACCCATTCCCACAGTTTTTCCTCTCCTTTCCAGGCGTGTACCATGTCCTCCACATGCTCACATACAAAAACAAATAATGTTGACTAAAATCAAGAGTAACATGAACATGGAGAGAGGCTCTGATGCAGATATTCTGATTGGTCAGCACCGTGACACTCTGCCTCAAAACCAACCAACAAACCAGAACAGTAAAGCCTTCCTAAGTGGAAAACTGTCAGAAATTACTCTTTAAAAAGCTATGTAGGGGCTGGAGAGGTGGCTCAGTGTTAAAAGCACTAGCTGCTCCTCCGGAAGACTGAGTGTTATTCCCAGTACCCACATGGTGGCTCATAACCATCCCTAACTACAGTTCTGGGGGATCTAGCACCCTCTGCTGCCGTCTGCGGGCACTGACAGCTTGTGTTTCACTAAATATACACCTACACACATAAAATTTTAAAGAAATTCAAGGTCATTCTCAGTGACCTAATGAGCTCTGGTTACATGAGTTTCTGTCTCAAAAATAACCAAAAAGAAAAAAAAACCACCCCTCTTATTAAAAAAAAGTTAGATAGTTGCATGTTATGACAGAAAAAAGAGCCACGTGAGAAAGAGCCTCCAACCGTCATCATTAGGAACACCCATCTCCATTCTCTTTCCAGAAATTCATAACCAGGGGTCAGAGTTTACAGAAACTACAAAGTATTAGATATGAAAATTGATAGGTATTTTTCTAATCTTACTGAAAACAGTTATCTTACAGGTTGAATTTCTAGATGGAATAAAATGTTGTAACCCTTTAAAATAATAATAAGGAAGATAAGCTTAAGAATTTTGTCAAAATAACCTGGCTTTGGCAGGTTAATATAAACAGAATACTTACGTCTGCAGAGCCAGGGGAGTCTGTCATTTTGAAAACTTACTATGAAAATCTATTTCCCTCCAAAGTAGATTTGACTTACCTTACTCCACAGTCAAAAAAGCCTCAGTGTTTTGTTTTTAGTAATTTCAACAGTTGGAATTATGGTTGAAAGGGTCTGAAGATTGGAATGAAGATTGAAAGAATACAACTGAATAATGATGTTTGTGGGCTAGAGAATGGGCTCAGTGTTTACGAGTTAACTGTTTTTGCAGAGGACCAGTTTGGTTCCCAGCGCCCACCCTGGGCAGCTGACAACTGTCCTGAAACTCTAGCTCCAAGGGTTACGATGCCCTTTTCTGTGGTCCTCTTGTGAAGTGCCAAGGGGAATGGCTGGCCAGCAGGGGCATCCTGGGCTTGGCTGAAGCCCTGTGATCATTACACCTAGCCAGTACCATGACATTTGGCAATTAACTGCTCTGATATTTGAGTTTTCTGGTTACTGAAAATGTCTTTATGGCGTGGATAGTGTGAAATATTGTCTTATGCTGTTCTGCTTTATTGAAAAGCTGGCTCTGGAATTGGAAAGTTTCTGTCCTGTGTCAGGTCAGCTAGGTGATTTGTGACAAGACAAAACCGAACAAAACAACAACAAGAAGTCAGAGTGGCTGAAAAATTAGACTATTGGTTTAATTTAACTGCCTAAAACTTTTGCTAAGATACAAACTATATCTCAAGATTTATATGTCTATCATGTGCACTTTCTGTACCTCAAGATTTATAAATCTATTGGATGTGGTTAAAAATCTGTAGAATCTGTGACAAAGGTTGACTTAAAACTTATAATACAAAGTTAATAATTAGAAATTTATACATAGGTGATCTCACCATTCAGGCTATAAAACTCAAGGTGTAGATAGCATCACCAACAAAACTGAAACAAAGACCTAATCCACCAAAGTTCATAGTTCTGGAAAATCTCCAAACATACTGACTTGGCTCTTTGACTTCTGTGGTTCTGCTTTTGAGTCATGGTTCTTGTTAACTGAGGTATGTCAACCCTGGGCATGGTTTTTTGTTTACAAGCTCACCCTGAGAAAGGCTTTGGGGCTACACTGAGATCCTGAACACCCAGTATCATTGCCAGCCAATGAGAGTTAGGGCTATAGTTACAAACACCAGAAACTGGAATATTTCTGTCTTACGATGCAGCATGACAATGACCTAAGCAGTCTGGCAAAGAGCCCATAAAATGTCTCTCCTTACCTAAGGTCTACCCAGGCCAACAGAAACTGACTTAAGAATGTATGCCTAGCCTCTTTGTCTTTACTAATTTTATTAAGCTTTAGCTATTTTGATAATCTGGGTCATCCAAGAAACCACGATATTCTGTAATGGTACACTATGAAAGGACCAGAAAAGAAAAGTTGCCAGTCATAATCTTTGTTTTTGTTTTTTGTTTTTGTTTCTTTTTTGTTGTTGTTGTTGTTTCAAGACAGGGGTTTTTCTCTCTCCTGGAACTCACTCTGTAGACCAGGCTGGTCTTGAACTCAGAGATCCATCTGCCTCTGCCTCCTGAGTCCTGGGATTAAAGGCATGTGCCACCACCACCTAGTGCCAGTCTTAATCGTATAAAAAGCTATTAACCTGTAAACCATTGAAAATAATTAAGACATGCAAGTTAATAGTCAGTCACTTTATAAATGATCAAATTCTTTACTGTGTTCAGAATTATACTTGTAGCCGTGCTAAGTACAAATGGAATTTATTTACAAGAATAAGTTTAATTTGGTCATATATGTATGTATGTGTAGATATATGTTTATAAATGTGTGTGTGTGTGTGTGTGTGTGTGTGTGTGTGTTTTCAAGGTAAAGCCTAAAACAAGTAACTAAAAACAAGGTTTGTCTTACTAACAAGCTTCATATTAAAGGATAAACAGGTTTCAGCTCTAACTTTTACTATTCTTTTATTTAAAAGAACTTGCTTTGCAATGACTGCTCTCAGTAATCAACTACATATATATGTTTCATGGCAAATGATAGTTATGAACTCTTTGATATGAATGCTGGGAACTGAACTCAGGTCCTCTGCAAGAGCCATTGTACATCCTCCTTGGTTGGTTTGTTTTGAGACAATCCCTCACTGGCTTGATACCTGCAGATCAGGCTGGACTGGAGGGCCAGTGAACAGGGGGGCTCCTGTGTCTGCCTCCACAGCGCTGGGATTTCCAGTATGGTGCTTGGCTCTTTGACACGGGTTCTAAGGCTTGAATCAGACTCTCACATTCACACAGCAAGCGCCTTGCCTCCTAAGCCTCCTACCAGCCCCTAGAGAATAATTTTAAATATCCTTTTTCTAGAATTCATAAATAGTAACATATTTGACTCACATTTCAGCCATAAATGAAAACTCCAGTCACTGTGGTGACAAACAGATGACATTGTTGTTCATAGACATAAAACAAAAATAAGCCCCTCTGTCACACATTGCATAAACAATAACCCTTATGATACTGAAACAAAACTATTTTTACACTCTTGGTCTTAAATTTTTTTTGTGTGTGTGATAGTGGATTTGTGTTTGTCTTCCTGAAACGGGATCTTGTTAGAAGCCTGGGCCTGGTACTAGCACCATGTAGACCCAGCTGGCCCCAGGTGCCTTCGTCTTGTCCCCTCCACGCTGGGATCACAGACCTGTGCCACCACGCCTAGCTTTTCCTACAGTTTTAGACAATAGCAGAGAAAACAAACAACAACAAGATGGCCTTGTCCTCTGTTACTTCTGTTAAAATATTTCAGGACCCTGGTTTTCAGGCCAGACGCGTTGAGGTGTGGGGCTGAGCTCAGGATGGGGCGTGTGCACTTGCCTCTGCATGTGAGCCATGGCAGCATTCCAGACAGCTGCTGATGGAGGCGACTCACAGAAACTGCCTGGGTCAGCTCAAAATATTTTTAAAAGAGATGCAAATTGAGGTAGAGGGAAGAGAAAAAAATCATCCTCTCACAAGCAGCCATATTTTGGGCTGATTTAGCTAAAGTTCCCACAGATGTGTTTTCTTCTCTAACGTTTCCTGTGGATTTAAGAAAGCAGATTCGGGATCCGGCTGTTTTTGTGCCCCATGTAATAGTACACATTAAAGGTTGCCCCTTCTCAACAGTCTCAGGAAACAATGATAAACCTGGATAGTACATTAGACTGTATGGTACTCTGGGCTTTAATAACTACTGTGGGTTTTCTTTACTTTTGTGTATATGCATCTGTGTCTGCAGAGACCAGAAGAGGATGTTGGATCCCCTGGTCCTCACACTTGGTGGTAGGTGCTTTACCCACTAAGCCATCTTCCCAGCCCCAAACGAACAGATTTTGAGTATTTGCTGGGGCCACGTGAAGGGGTTTTCACATGCTTTGATTCTATCCTCACAACACCTCTGCAAGAATATTGTAAGTGATATCTAGGGTCCCTGTTCTATTTTGCTTTTCTGTCATCACGATAAAACATTCTGGCCATAAGCAATTTGAGAAGGAAAAGGTCTATTTTACTTTACAGTCTCAGTAACAGTCTGTCACTGAGAGAAGTCAGGGCAGGAACTGAAGCAGAGACCTTGGAGGAAGACCCCTCCCTCTCTTATACTCAGGATAGCTTTCTTATCTAGTCCAGGCCCATCTGCCTGGCCATGGTGCCGTCCACAGTGGGCTGGGACCTCCTATTTCAATTACCAGTCAAGAAAATCTCTCACAGACAAGCCCCAGGCCAGTTTGATCTAAACAACTCTTCACTCAAGGTTCCCTCTTTGAGTGATAACAAAACCCAGCCTGGACATTCCTGTGACTGCAAGTGGACTCCCTGCCTTTGCTACTCTGGGCAAATTTGATTAATGCTTCAGAATAATGTATAATAGTAAATAGCCATGTCATGCACTCCAGGAGGTGAGTCCCTACATGTCTCAAATTGTACTGGGAGTTTTTCTCTTTCTTTTTTAGGTTGTCTCCAGATGGAAGAACAGATGACAATGTTTATCCATGCAGCTAAACACAGAGTGGAGATCTTCAAGTATGCAAGTCTCCTGGGGAAGACACCTACAGAAATTAGGTGATGGGCAGCACTTTGTCATCCCGCATTCTTTTCTTCCATGCCAATACCTTCTAGGACACTAACATTCTCAATGCACTTGTCCATAGGCTCCCTTTCATTCATAAAATAATGACTAAATTGTCTAAAGGTAATATTCCTAGAGCTAGATGCATATAAGGTTGCAAGAGCAATCTGGCTGTGATACTGTGTCACCCCATTTATCCCCAGCTGATCTGTCGGGCTAGGTGGGGCACCTGCTTCCTCCCTCACCGCTCTGTGTGAAGCATCCTGAACCTCCCCAATGGAGGAGGGCCTCTCTCTGAACAGTAGCATATGGGAAGCCATGCATCCCTGCTAGAACCTCCACATAAGCTCTCAGAGCGGCTTTTAAATCAGGACACAAAATCTTTAAGGCTCTAAAGAATGCAAAGAATTTGCAATGGTAGAATTCCAGACACCATGAGACAGTAAGAGAGAGATCTTGGCCTTTCAAATAAATGTTAGCCAATATTCTACTTTTGAGTCAACCCAGAGAACAACTTTTTTATCCACTCCCTAACCTATTTAGCTCATGAACCATCTGAAGGTCATACCCCTCTGCTGGCAAAAAGGACTTTCTTCTTACCCTAGACTCTTCTATTTCTTTTAAATATGCTAATTTTTCTTTCTTTTTTTTTTTTTACTACTAGCTAATTTTTCTTAATTGGATGTTACTTTCATCCATTTTTATTTGGGTCCTTAGGGATCTTTAGAGAACAGGAAATATCCCCGTCCATCACTGCTATTGCCTATGTAAATACCCCTGAATTCATATACTGAAACAATTTGTCAAAATGACAGTTGTCATAGTTTGGGCTTTCATTGCTGTGAAGAGACACCATGACCACAGCAACTCTTAGAAAGAAAACATTTAATTGGGGTGGCTCGCTTACAGTTTCAGAGGTTCCGTCCATTATCATCATGATGGGGAGCATGGTGGCATGCAGAGCTGAGAGAGCTACATCTTGACTTGCAGGCAATAGGAAGTCAGCTGACAGTCATGCTGAGGGAAGCTTGAGCGAAAGGGACCTCAGGCCCCACCCCCACAGGGACACACTTCCCCCAACAAGGCTACTCCCTTTGAGGGTCATTTTCTTTCAAACCACCACAATAGTATTAAGAGAAAGTCTTTTAGAGAGGGATTAAGTCACAAGGTCTGTCCTCATATATGATATTAACAACTCAACCCAGTAAAGTGCTCAAGAGAATTAACTAGCCCCTCCCCTTTTCTTCTATCCTTCTACCACATGGGGAGATGATATTAGTCCCTTTGAAGGACAAAGCAATCAGGCAGCATTTTGGGAAAAGGGACTGGGCCCTTACCAGACACTGAATCCCCCAAGGACTTAAGCTTGAACATCTTGGCCTCTAGAACTGTGGGAAGTAAATTTCTGTTCTGGTATTTTATTCTAACCACACAAATATTTATTCTAATCAACAAATAGACTAGAATACTAACCACTATAAATTTTTAACTATAGGCATTTTTTTTTTTTTACTTTAAAACATTAGGTCTCTAATAGAGCCTACGTTCATATGCTACGGTGGCCATGTCTTCCCTTTGCCTTCTCAACAAGGCAAAAGCTTCCTGCCAAGTACTTGGAGGCTGTGGTTTGCTCAGATCTCCTTCCCTTGCCCCGGTTATTTTATTCACAGTAGTTACTCTGCAGAAAATATTTTATAACTTGAAACATTAGAAGACTTTTTAATCTTCGGAGGGAGAGGCAGAGTTAGGGGTGGCTGTGCACACCTGTAAGCATAGTAGCTGGGAGGCTGAAAGAGAAGGGGTTTGAGTTTAAGGCTAGCCTGGGCTACACACTGTCTCAAAAAAAATTAGGATGGCCATGTGTATGAATGTTTTTAGATTAGGAGGGAAACGATTGCTGTGACTTCAGGAACACTCAGGAGCAATCAGTCTGGGAGATGATGTGTCCTTACAGGAGATTCTACAGTGAGTTCTACAGTTAGAATGTTTGCCCTTGCAAAATTCACGACGACATTTAGCTGCGATGGTAACAGCGTCAAGAATAGGACTCGCTAGGCATGATTGGGACATGAGCGATCCTGACCTCACGGGTCAAGCACAGATTTACCCTCCGTTGCTTTCTTCCCTTTCCACCCTCCGTCATGTGATGGCCCAACATACGGCAGCTCCCACCGGCTCGTGTGCCTTGATTTTGGACCTCCTAGCCTCCAGACCCAAGAAAAAATAACCTATTCTTTTACAGCCGCACCAAATGGACTAAGCCAGAATGTTAGGTATTAATGCAAAAGAAAAAAGTTAGTTGGTAAGTTTACCAGAATTCTGGAAATCCGTGAAGCAGCAGCATGAGTGGTCTGCCCCTTTCTCCAGCAGCAACATAGTGGAATCTTAACCCCGAATCCTGAAAGTGGAAAGTACGGATAACCTGTTTATGAGCACCATCAGACTACGACACTTAGAATTTCCATTTAGCCAAAAACACTCTCACTTGAATTATCTTAGCATTAAGAAATAAATATTAATTTAACAACGTGAGTTATCAATAGGATAAATGGACCCATTCGCCTTTTGGGGTATTACCTTTAGAATAGCCCTCTTTGTTCTACTACGAGGTCAATGTATGCATTTGAGCTTCTGAAGCAACGTCACAACATAGCTTTCATCTTCCTGAGGTGTCACGTTTCATCTCCTTCAGGATATGTAAATAATTCTGATCTGAATTTCAATTTTGCTAAGTCTGTCTTGGGTACTCTGCTCAGCTCACCCGTCAGAAGCTGAACCATCACTTATGTAACTCACACCCCCTTCTCTTATTTTTAGGTATCTCCTTCCCACACTATTATCTTGAGTGTTTCATATATGGTCCCCTGGCTTCCTGTTCCTCCTGTGTGTGCTTCTAACAGTGGGATATACCAAGTGCCCAAGACCTCACTGTGCACGTGGAAGATAAGCTAGACCAAGGAAAAGAATAGGATTGGGAACAAGAGAAGAATACAGCAAACGCCAAGGAAACAGGAAAACAGAGAAAAGAAGAAAAGCAAAGTCCCCGAAAGTATGAACGATAGTAGATGTCAAAAGCTGAGCATGGACCCTGGACTTTGACGTGAAAGAGTCTGGCAGGTCATTTCATTCAACTCTATCAGGTTACAGGTTTAGAAAATGAGGCCCAGGGGCTGAGGCTGTGGTGCAGCAGCCGAGCATTTGCTTTTCAAGACCCTAGCTTAGGGTCCCAGTACTGCAATCCCCTCCCCCAAATGAGGCCCAAACAAGTCACATAAGTCGTAAAGGTAGTTGGGAGGGTTGAGGCTATAGCTCAGTGGCGGAGTGGCATTTACCTGGCATGACCAAGGCCTTGGGCTGGTCCCAACATCACTAAATCAATAGAAGTAGAGAGGAATGTAGTAACTAGGGGACTAGAATCACTGTGTCTATATCTTAGTTCTGCTTCTGGGAAAAAGAAAAGCATTCCGAGGAACCTCATGATGACCCATAGGCTGCATTTTGTCCATAAGTTAGACAGTTAACAAATGTGAACTTGCTGTTACCTTTAAAAATTGTTTTAGTGGTCTTGTGGAATGAAATGCTATGGCCGCTGGACTGGATTTAATAAATACTTTATTTTTCTGAGTATATGCCAAGTCAATAATTATAATAACGAATTATACTAAGTTCTAAGTCTGTTGAACTTTGGTTCATTTTTCTATTTTGTTTTGTTTTCTTGTTTTTTTCCAAACGTGAACGCACTTAATTCTTACGTCTTTTTCAGACTCCTCCTGCCTTTCTGAACCCCAGTTGCTGGGAAATTTAGCTGCTGATAGAGAGTCAGGGCTCAGTAACATAAATATCTCCTTGTATGTTGCCTTTGAAAGGCTCGTGAGTCAGACTGTAGGGCGTATCACAGAGACTATGTCACTCCACCACCTGGCGTCAGGAAATAGAATGTCTGTGGGCTGTGACAGAAGTTGGGACAAGCATTGACAATGGACATCTGTTTGTATGGTTGACACCTTTTTTAAGCAGAGCGAACGAAGCTTTATTAGGGAGAAGTGGACACCTACTTTTTATTCCATTACTCCGGTCCCTGACTGCTCACATGGGCATTCCTCACAAACATACACCATTTCTTAACTGTTAAGTGCTGCCTAGGTCATCTGAAATCAGAAATGACTTTCCAAAGAACTGTCCATTTGCTCCATCTCAAAAAGCCTAAGACAGCAGGACATCGTCAGGAGCATTGTTCTGCAGCTGAGCTGAGCCCTAAAAGGCAGAAAGGGTGACAGGAGACGTCTTCTCCTTGCAGTAGGAAAGGGGATAGAATTATTAGAGTTGCTTCAGCAGGAGGATCCGGTTAGAGACATTCCACCTAGAAATAGTCTTCCCCCAACCCCACATACGAGGTAAGGAGAAAGCAGACAGACATAAACTGAGCCCCTGTCCAGCTCCCAGCCCCGTCCTTCCTGCCTCCCGGAGCCCACAGTGCGACCGGCGCCCTTGGCGCCCGCCGCTCCCACGGCCCCCACCCGCGGCACGCTCCCTCCCCTCGCTCCAGGCGCGCGCCGGCCTTCACCTTGATCCGCACGTAGCAGTGGGTCCCCAAGGAGGGGTCGTTCAGGCACGCCGGAGGGTTGGCCCGGGCGGCCCGGCGGAAGGTCTGCGCGGGTGCCCTGCCGATGCTCCACAAAAGTTTGAGCAGGTGGACGGAGGCGCACAGCCCGCAGTAGCCGTACACCAGGGACCAGTAGAGCAGGGCGCGCAGCGCGGGCACCAGGCGGGGCGGGCGCGGCGGGGCCATGGGGCGGCCTTGCGGGAGCCGAGCTGCGGCGTCCCTCCCGCGCCTGCCGCCCTCCCCGCGCGCCTGCCCGGCCCCGCACACGCCGCGCGCCCAGGCCTCGGGGACCGCGCAGAGCGAGGCCTGGGTGCTTGTCCTACGCCCGTGCCACTTCCCTAGTGCCGGGCGAAAGGAAGGCGACGCGGAACGCCATTCTGGGGTCCTGCCGAAGCGCCCTGCTCCGAACAGGTTCAAGCCTGGTTCCCGGATAACCGGGAATGCCTCAGGCCTTCTTCTGGATGCGAGAACCACGGAGGGCGGGAGGGACTTTTGTACTAAATTGCGTCCGTTATTTCTTCAGGTAGGTACGCTTGAGAATCTCTTGCAGATGTTAACTGTTCAACTTCACTGTTGCATCAAAGTTACCAGCTCAGCCAGCAAAAGAGCAAAAGGCACTTTGGACCAAGGCGCAGGCAGCCAATTGGTCTGTTCCCCGGCATTTAGCAAGGTGTTCTCCCTCACCCTCTCTTCTCCTTCTTAATCTTCCCCTCCCCTTCCCTCTTCCGAACCCCATTGGTGTAGTTCCCGCAATAGTTTATCAAGTGTCTGGTTAAGAAATATTCATTCTCTCTTCATTCTTCCCACCCTTCCCTCCCTACCCCTTCCTTCCCCCCTCCCCTCCCCTCTCTTCCCTTCTCCCCTTCCCTTCCAGTTTGTGTGTTTGTGTGTGTGTGTGTGTGTGTGTGTATGTGTGTGTGTGTGTGTGTGTGTGTGTGTGTGTGTGTGTGTGTGTGTGACTGCCTCAAGGGAATGAGGTGAGTGATGGAACAGGACCTACCCTCCCCTTCCCTCCCCTCCAGTGTGTGTGTGTGTGTGTGTGTGTGTGTGTGTGTGTGTGTGTGTGTGTATGTGTGTGTGTGTGTGTGTGTGTATGTGTGTATGTGGGGTGTCTGCAGGTGCCTACAGAGGCCAGAAGAGGGCGTTGGATCCTCTGGAGGGGGTGTTACAGGTGGCTGTGAGTCTGTGCCCTCCTCTCCTCTTGCTGGGAACTGAGTTTAGGTCCTCTGAAAAAGAAGTGCTCTTATTGCCAAGCCATCTCTGTCCCGTTCCTTACATCTGTATAACTTGGGGCTGTTATCATTACATCTACATAAAATGTTTTGTGTGGTGGTATTTTACTTGTACTGAAATGTGATTTCAATTGTATGTTAATAAATAAAGTTGTCTGGGGGTCAGAGCTATTAGAGCCATAGCAAGTGCGTGGCAGCGGTGGCGCACGCCTTTAAGGACCTGGAGGGTGGTACATACAGGCAGTGACGAGGCAGTCACGTGTTTGGGTTTACAACCAATGAGAAGGCAGAACAGCTAGACAATATAAAGACATACACACAGGAAGTAGGTCCTTTTCGAAGAGCTCTCTTGGCTGAAGAGGATCGCTGAATCAGGAAGGGTGAGGCGCTTAGCTCTGACTTCTTGGCTTTCTTCTCTGAATCGGCTCTGTGTTTCTTATTTGATAAGATGGTTGGATAAATCTACAGTTTTGTGTGTAAACATTTTTATTTTTTCATTTCACCTAGCAATGAGATTGTAGGGCCAGGCAGGTAAGTGGGACTTTGGCTTCCTGAGATAATCAAACTGGTTCCCAGAATGACTGCTCAGGAGTAGAGGTTCTGCCGCAGCCTGCAAACCAGAGTTCTTAAGGCCCTGGGTTCAATTGCTACTCCAAAAAAATGGTGACCATACTGGACTCACCAATAATCTGAGAGAGTCATTGTTGAGTCCCATTCTTGAAAGCACTAGGTATTGAACTCTTCTTAATTTCAGCCATTCCAGAGGTACACAGTGAACACTTGATTCTAAATAGAAGGAGGAACTATCTTCAGGAAGGGAGGGAGTTGCTAGAGGGCAGAGCATGGAGGAGGGTAGCTTGGGAAGGTCGATGAATTAGGACAAAATATGTGTCTGAGTATGCCATAATAAAACTTACTACTTTGTATACTAACTTAGATAATCAATAAAAAGAGTGAAACTTAATGTGAATTTATTTCTCTAATGGTGAATAGCATTAGGTCTCTTGAAGTGCCATCCTAATTAGTCTTAACAATAAAAACTCAGATATAAAGGATAGTGTTGAAAGATCAGAGAAGCAGAGCAGCAGCCACTAGAGACATCCTACAAATCCAAAAAGGGGGGTTTAGATCCTGTTCCCACCTGCTTTACATTCCTGTCTCTGCCTCCCTAATGCTGGGATTAAAGGTGGGTACTACCACCTCTGGCTGTGTTTCTCTTTTAGACTGGTTCAATCTCCTGTAGCCCAAGGTGACCTTGAACTCCTGATCTTACTGCTTCTCCCAAGTGCTGGGATTAAAGGTGTGTGCCACTGCCTGGCTTCTATGGTTAACTAGTGGCTAGCTCCACCCTCTGTTCTCCAGGCAAGCTTTATTTGTCAGAACACAAACAAAATATCATACAACATCCTCTTCGGTTTGGTCACGTTACTCAAATATACCCTTCTTTGACAAAGCGGCTATACAAGTCTTCTACGTGGTGTTGATCCCCATCCCCACAATGGAACCAGGGCCTAGCAGGGGTGGTATGTCTGCACACACTAGTACTGGGCTACACTCACAAATACCTTTATTCTTGTATTTTAGGCTTTCTCATAGATGAGTTTGAGAGTTCCTCATAGTTTATTACAAACCTTTGTTAAACATAACGCGGTTTGTCTTTCTCCTTATTTGTATTTTTCCTTTCAGGGGGAAAAAAGCGTTTTAATCTTGGCGAAGTCAAATTTGTCAGTTTTTCCATTTATTACTCATCCTTTTAATGTCAAGTCTAAAAACTCTTGGCCTAGCCAGTAGAGCCTAAAAGATTTTTGTTTATTATATATACAGTGTTCTGCCTGCGTGTATGTCTGCATGCCAGAAGAGGGCGCCAGATCTCATTACAGATGGTTGTGAGCCACCATGTGGATGCTGGGAATTGAACTCAGGACCTCTGGAAGAGCAGCCAGTGCTCTTAACTTCTAAGACATCTCTCCAGCCTGAGCCTAAAGATTTTTGTTTTATTATAGTCTTAAATTGCTTATGATGCAGTTTTTGTATAAGATGTGAGGTTTTGCTTGACGTTCATGTATCTTAGACTCTCCACTGGCACTTGTTGACAAGCCTACCCTGTCTCTAATGAGCTCCTGTCTACTGGATTGTATCTTCACCACAGCTCTTTATGTCTGAGGTCTCCACTCCATACCATTCCATTGACCGAAAGTATTGTGGTTGTGTCTTTTCTTTCTCTCTCTTTTCCTCTCTTTTTATGATCTGTGTTGTATGTGTTCTGTATGCTCTTGTTCATATCTCCTAGTCTGCAATGGTTTCTTTGCAGCACATGCTTGGAGGGAACTGCTACATGTCTATCAGAGAGAGTTGAATATACAACTATTGGCCCTTAGGAAAGAGCATATTTTACAAATCGGTTATGTGTATTGAGTCTTGTTGCTGGTGTCTGAGCTCCCATTAATCCTCCCCAACATATGATGATAAAAATATCATTTTAGCTAACAATGAGTTAAGATCACTATCATATATGGCTTCAGTTTTGTTTCCCTCAATAACTAAGAAGCTGAATGTCTCTCCATGTTCAATATCCATACACATCTCCTAAACTCTCATCAGGCCAAGAGTTAGCAATGCCTGTGTGTTGTTCTCAATTCTCCAGGCTTCCAGTCAGGTGTAACCAAGAGATTGGATTGTGGTCAATGGGTTGTGAGTTCAAGATGCCTCTTTCGAATCTGGCCATTAAAAACCTTTCCATGAACAATATGGTGGTTTGCATGAGAATGACCCCAATAGGTTCATGTTTGAATATTTTGTTCTCAGTTGGTGGAACTGTTTGGGAAGCGTTAGGAGATGTAGCCTTTTTGGAGGAGGTGTATCACTGTGGTTGAGCTTTGAGGTTTCAAAAGCCCTCACCATTCCCTGTTAGCCCCTCTGTCTCCTACGTGTGGACAAGGTGTAAGCTCTCAGCTACTGCTCCAGTGCCATGCCTGCCTGCCTCTGAAACTATAAGCCCCCAATAAACTCTTTCTTCTAAATTGCCTTATCACAGCAATTGAAAAGTAACTAAGACAAGGAATTCTCCCCTTGAATCCCCCCACACTCTTCAGAGTTCTTTCTCCCCTCTTAAAAAAAATCTATGTATACAAAACAAAAACCTTCCATTTGATCATCTGATCCTATTTTCTTGTGGTCCATCCACAGCAGAGACCACATGGTCTAGGTGGAGAAACTAGAAACAATGGGGCCACACTGTGTAGATTGAGGGTACACATGGTGAAAATGTGAAAATTCCAGCGCCAATTCATAGTTTTACTGCATTCAGAATCACAAGCTGACATACACTGCTAGTTTTGTTTTTCAGCAAAGACTTGTCATCCTTTCTGTGCACACAGAACTATGATCTACAATGTGAAAGGACCCTGCAGTCAGCAATGAACTGCACACAGCTTTGCTTTCCCTCATGGAAAAGCTAGTATCTCACCAACCTAGACTCTCATCCATGCACACCCTCCTGTGGCAAACAGTTCAGAACAGGACTGAAAGAAACTATGTGACATGGCACCATGATTAACACACCTTACTGATAACCAGCTGCCCCCTAAGGACACTGCCCAATGAGAAACGCTGTATTTAGATATGCAATGAGAAAAAGCACAGGATTAGCACACACTTTAGTGCTGAAACGAAAGACATCCAAAAATCTCCACATCTCAAGCTAGCAGGCCTTTTTCTTCCAGAGCTCTGAAGTTTGGATTCCTCTGCCCTCGTATTTTTGTTGCTGATAGCTCATTTACGTTTGGTGAAATTAAAGTAATCTCTCTAAAACAGCTATTTTCTTTGCTTGCTTACAAATTTTGTGTATGGTATTATGATGGCCACTGAAAAAAGTCTTAGGTATGTTTTTATTTTTCACAGTTCTTGGAATATTATACTTCCAAGACAAAAAGCCAGGTATGGTGGCTCATACCT